TTATACGCATGTATAAACACAATGGAAATCCGTTTCCATCAAATAACTTTGGAAGAAGATGAATTCTGTGTCCCAAATGTGTTTTCATGCGAAATAAGTGTAAAAGCAAAAAAATGAAGAAGGCAGTAAGACATTGTTACACTATAAAATGACTTCTGTATCATATATTTTTTTTACATATCAGCCTTCTCTCTGTTTGGTCTGAAAGCCAAAACTCAAAAAGCATCATTAAAAAAATTACCATTGATGGAATCACACATAGTTACGATGCTTAAATTTTGAAGGCAAATTCTGTGATCTGATGAAGCCAAAATGTAATTGTTTTATCATAATGACCATCATTATAACTAGAGAAAAATAGGGAAGTTTGAAATCCTGTGAAAATACTGAAACAATGTCTCATCGCATTAACCTGGAAGTCAAAATTTGGGCAGAAATGAGTCTTTAAATTGTCCAATAAAAATTCTGGCTAGAGATAAACAGGTGTATCCAAGAGACTTGTGGAAGGAAATCCAAAACTTCATAAGTACTTCTTACAAAGATAATTTCAAATGGCAGAATTCAAATTTATCATTTGTGAATGAATGTTCACATATTAATTTTAGGTTATAATATAGGTAAAATAAGAGTCAATCCGTCTCCCACTGCAGAAGTTATTGGTATCCAATAAGGCATAAGAGAAATATTCAGAAATGGTAAATGTGACAACCATGTTGCAAAGCCCCCAAGAAGAAAATCCTCTTTATGACATGATAATGTCCCCATACAGGAGTGATTTTTGAGAAGGAATGTTCATAAAAATAATCAAACTTTTTCCATCAAAAGCAGAACATTGGAAAGAAAGTCTTCTAAATTATTATTCTTGAAAAACAAGAACAAACTCAGTGTTTTGCTCATGGTTCTCATTGTCCTTTTTGGTGTTTTAGCAGTTATATTATTTTTATTTTTCTTATGTTTTAAGCAGCACTTTTATTTTAATTTTCCTCTTTCCATTTTTTCTATATGCTAATGAGCTTGCAACGTGAATGTCCATGTGAATCTAGCTGTTAATGCAAGGTAGTCATTCAGTTGCTATGATACATCTGTTCATTTGCAGTATTTTGCATCATCACACAATGCAGTCCTGATGGTTTCCAAAGCAGAGGGAGTTTTATCAAATATTATGGTGTTAATTTACAGTCAGTTCAGAAAGTGGGACTTTCCAAAGTCTAACAGCTGTCTTAGAACAAAATCCAATTTAAAACTCTACATTCCCTTTAGGATGAGTTGAGTCTGCTCCTGAAAAATTTCTTTGTTTCTACCAGATGAGCTGTGGGAGTCTCGGGCTGCAAATGAACACTTGACTTTGAAAAGGATTTAGAAATATGGTCTAATGTGCAAGAGTGAGCTCTGACATGTCAGACTATTTACAGAACTCCTTTGAGTTTTCCTCTGTGAGATGGGGCAAGCCATGGCAAAAACTACTGCTGTTAACCTCCAACATGTGAACAAACAGTGATGTAAAGAAGTAATTTGATGCACAAGGTGAGTAACTTCAAGTCACACTTAAAAAAAAATAAAGAAGAAAGGAAATAGGAAATCCAGCAGGAGGTTTCCTGCTAGATTTCTGCTCTGGTTTTGCTCACTATCCAGGAACGCCATCTAGTGTTTAAAAGCAGGAACTTAGTCTAATAAAGATGACACCTGCCTTTATGACTGGCATCTGGAGCAAGACAGAGGTTAATAGTCAGGTTAATGCATCAGCTGGATTGTCCATGAGTACTACATGCTTCTGGATTGGCCTGGCAACCAGGGAGACGTTGTTAAATACTGGACACTTCCGTTCCAACTCTCATGCTAATTTTTATATATCAGCCTTCTCAAATACTTATTTTTAGCCTGCTTTAAATGAACTATAGATGTAAAATAGCAATAGGTCTTATTGTTTTATGCAGGTGAACCAGCAGCAAAATAAAACCATGATGATGGACTAAATCAACAAGGCCATAAAAGGTAAAAGTATAACAGAAAATGGAAGAAGAGACACTGGAGTCAGTGCAAATTTACATAATAAGAAAAACAATATTGTACAGTTCTTAAAAACAGCATACTCAGATCAATAAAACTTATGACGGAGTCCAAGACGTAAATATTTCTAGATCAAAAACAGCGACAGACTATTTACAAGAAATTAAAATATTATACTAATATCAGCAGGGATGTAAATTCTTAAAAAGTTCATTGGGAGCCGAGATCATTATAAATTCGACCAACTGCTGGGAGAGAAGATTTGCAATATTCAGGACGCTAGCTTCCCCTTCTTGCTCAGTTGGGCATATTTTTCCAATTTTCATTTCATCAACAATGAAGCAGCTCAAATAATTAAAGACGGGTGATTGAACTCCACCTCAAACGCATGAAAACATAACGTCACTTTGCTTCCTTTCTTTCATTGACTGGGGCGTCTAGAAGGTGGTTTTTCTCCTTTAGCTCTCAACTCTCTCTGCAGCAGCTCTGCAAGCACTGATTTTGTGCCGTTACACCGTTTCCTCTCCTAGGCTTGATGAATATGCATCTCCTTCTTCCCTCTTGGCTTTCACGCCTGCATGTTTCTTCATGCTCACAAACACACAGAGCACATTGCAGACGTTTGCACAACAAACATTCATAAATCCTACAGATACATTGGCTGACAAGCCTTCCTGAAGAAATGCCGCCAATTTAGTTGTAATTTTATAATCTTACAACTTTAGTATCGTTTGCTATCAAAGCAGAGCAATGATAGCAGGCAATGTGACATTTTTTTTTTTATTTACAACAATTTTGTCAGAGATTGCACATATTTTTTAACATTTTGCTTCTTTTTACTGTGAACAAAAACTGTTTTTGTGCATTAAGTTTCTCTCTATCCCATATGAATGAGGTTTAGATATATTGATATATTCAGATATAAAGGCAAAAGCTTTTGTTTTCAGATGTTCAAGACGTTTTAACTTTGTCAAGCATTTTCCATCAACCAGAACAACACAGAGAGGCGTACTTAATTTCTCTGGAACCCATTCCCTGCAGTTTTGTTTCTTAGTCTGCCACAGCAGTAAGAAAGAAAAAACTCCATGACAAAAACATTCAATAAAAACTCTCCTTCATTAGCTTCAACTAGTGCCTCACCTTCAGAGGTTCAGACGCTCATGGCTACAAGAAGCTTTGTGGTATTTGTAGATTAGCAGCTAATCCATGTGAAGAATAAACACCCTTTGAATCCATCCCTCTCCTGGCTACTTCATGCTGCCAACAAAAATCAAATCACGCTGCTTTGTTCTCAGTAATAAGTCATTGAGGGGATACTCTAAAGTGTTTGTATGATCACAATAACTGTCTGGTGCTAAAGGGAAAGTACTGACTGCTTTAATCTCAACATGACAAGGCTGAGCAGTCAACAGATCCACCTGTGGCTCCCCAATGCGTGTTCAGAGACAGCGTTTTAGAGACAGCGGCCACAGAGCCGCTGTAAGTGCAATCTCCTCTGCCCATCAGCAACCTGAACGCCACTGGACCCCAACTGGGTTCTCTGTTATTTATTACACAGCACAAACTAATACTTAAACTGAGCAAGCGATTACGATGGATTAAGAAGGCCTCAAATTCTGCTGAAACCAAAAATAATTCTGCTGATCCAGCTATGAAGAAAATACTGCAAGTATAGGACAAAGACTATTGACAGGTAAAATAAATGACTTGGACTGTGACACGTTTCAGAAAGTGAAATATATTAGGCAGCGAGTGACCTCTTTGTAAAGTTGATGTCTCAGAAGCAGAGAAAATGAGTAAATCATAAGAATTTGAACAAGTTTGACAAGGACCAGATTGAAACAGCCAGGCAACTGGGTCAGTGTCTAGAAATTCAGAGCTTTAGCACTGTGTTCCTGATCTGCTGTTGTCAGAATCCATCAAAAGAGGTCGAAGGTGAAACAAACAGCAGACGTGACGGACCAACAGTTGAGCTATAGAAGCTGAAAATATTATTGCTACTTCTAAAAAACTATTTATCAGACTATACAGTTTGCATCAGAGTTTGCTGAGTCGGCAGAGACCGGTCAGTGGAAAAAGATGGCTCGGTCTGATGAATCGTGTGCTAATGTGTGTCATTTATCACAGGAACACATGACATGTACCACTGATCTCTGCATTGTTGCAGACATTAACACATTTGAACGGAAGCAGTGTAGCTGATGGCTGCTGCCTCTTTCAGCATGATAGCATCTGCTGCCATGAAGTGGATTGTTTGGGAATGGAAGAGGTTCAGCTCCTGACTTGACCTCAAAATTTTCCAGGGGTCAGTGACATACATGCAAGTCATTTTTGCATTGATGAGCCACAAAAGCAGCATAACTCCCTGAACAAAACTTGAACATTTCTGAGTTTCAAAAGTTTCATAATTTCAACTTTTGAAATTCAGAAATTTCAAGATGAAGCTCAGAAATTTTCCAGAAGATTTTTTTTCTAGAAGAGCCACAAAAGCACAATAGCTCACTGAAACAAAACTTGGAAATGTCCAAGTTTTTTTTTTTTTTTTCAAAATATTTCTGAGATTAATCTCAAAATGTCGGACTATTTTTTGGTCAGAAATTCGCTCCTCCTTTTTCTGTCTACAGTGGCCCTAATATGCTGTCATACATTCCTCGATAAATTTGTACTGTCCCTCTTGTGATGTTATCACATCCATGCAGTACAGACTTAGCTTTTTTTTCTTCTTCTTCTGCTGGCTTAAAAAATAGTAGGTTCATTTTGAGAACTATTGCACTAGAACCCAGCTGAATTTTTACTGTCAGATAAAATTTTATAATCAACCAAACAAAAACATCTCTGCACATCAAGTAGAAAATCCTGAGTGTTTTACATGTAAATGATATGAGCAGTGAAAAAAACAACAAGATATTAATCAAATAACACAGCAAGCAGAGCATGATCACAGGGATAAATGGAGATAATGTGGACTAAGTGATAAATATGAGTCACTCAAACTGGAGGCTACTGTGAGCGGGGGCGAAGAGCCAACTGTGGCATCCAGGCAGAAGCGTTCTCCACTCCGCCTCCTCTGGCTCCTGCACACGCAGGGGAAGATCCATCCGAAGCTCAGGATAAAACAGGATGTTTCGCCTCGGTTCTGAGGCGTTTGCTGCAGCCGTGACAGCCTCGGAGCCCGGCTAGCGCCCCCACCAACAACCGCAGCAGCGCGCTGCGGGCGCACACAGCGAACGCATTGCTGCACTTTACATCTTCTTTATGGCGTTGCTCGTTTGGACGCCAGCGTCCCACAGTGGCAGTGGACTGCCAGCGAGGATGGTGTTGTCCTGAGAGCTCAGACATGCCATCTGTCTGTGCTGGAAACGTCGCTGTCTGGGCTGCAATTCGCTGCGCTCCTTGAGGGAATCAAAGTTGGTGCAATGGAGACTTCCGGGAGTGATGCTGCTGTCACATACTTGGAGAAACCTGATGAGGGATATGGATATTATGATCTGGAGCATCTCCCTCCACTGTTGGAAGATGAGGTGAGGTTGTGGATTTCACTGGAATGGGTTTTTAAAGTGTGATGTTATTTACGACTAAATGAAAAGTACGTAAATGTCAGTACATCATGGATAAGTTAATATTTTTCAGCAGTTTAATCCACAAAGTAAAACTCAGATTATATACATGAATTAAAAACTGATTAACACAATTTAAATGTTTATTTATGTTTTGGATATTATAGTTTAGAGTTAAAAAAAAAAAACATTGGGAATGTTTTTTGTGACCTACATAATAAAGGAGGAGGACTACTGACTTGGCCATCAGGCTTTCTAACGGAAGGGTAATCCACAAAAGAACATTGCTAAAGATACTGGCTATTTATACAACATAACAATGAAAGCCTAGTAATGGGAACTTGAGTGGAAGGAAGGAAAAATATGGTAGAAAAAATGTCACAAGCAACAAAGATAACCACAACATCGAGAAAACTGTTAGGCAAAGCTCTGTCAGGAGTTTGGCTGGGGTCAGAGCTTCAGGATGGACAGATGTTCCCAAAGCTCCTAAACTCCTAAACCTGTCAATATCACAGGTGTCTTACCTGAGAAAACTGAAACCACCCACTTATTTACACCAGGGGTTTGGAAGTAAAGAGGCATTTAAAACACCTTGCTGTGTATGTTTTAAATGCCCCTTCAGGACCAGGTTTGGAAAACACCTTCCCGGTGTGTCGTTGGGCACTTCCTGTTCCCTCTGCTGACAAGCTTTATGGAGATAATGATTTTATTTTCCAACACACTTAGTTTGATGATCATGGCAACACTTAGCTTGATTGGCCAGTAAACTGATCTGATCTTTTTTGTTTGTTTGTTTGGTTTTATTTTTTACAAACAAAATGAACCAAAAGATTGTGTTCGGATCAATTTAACATAAATATAATCTTAGGAACTCATAAAAAGAAAAAGAGAGTCAGTTTACTGAAAGTCAACACAAGTTTTGCTACTCATTGGATCTTCACCTCTTTAATTCAGGACAAACTTTAAGAATGTCAAACTTCATAATTGGGTTTGTGTAGAAAAGAATGACCCTCAAGAACACTGACCTTTCCTTTCCTCTCATTTCCAAAGTTCAAAGATCTGAGGTTGTTGGGAACCTTGGAGCTTATGTAGGCTAACACATTTAAGTTGAGCAGGCTGAGAGAGACTAGTGTTTCCCTGCACTGTCCTCATGGGAAGCTATCTATTTCTGGTGATGCTGCTCCTGCTGCTACTGCATGAAGTGGTTCATCTCTGCCCTGTAATTTCTCTCCACACAACTTCATCTCCACACAACTTCATCACACAAATTTGGCATTTTCTAACAACCTGCTGCCACCTTCCTCCTATGAATATGTTCAATATGGTACTTTATTTCTAATCAAATGCTACTCGTGGGTTTCCAAAGAAGACCTGCAGTGTAGGTGGCAGAAATTTTTAAATAAAGCCCTTGTTAGATGCTTTAATTTTCTGTCTTGGAAAAAAGTGTAAAATTCGTGCTTAAGTGCTGTGTGGAGGAATTGACAGCGACTGCTTCGTGACACACTTTACTCTCCAAACATCCACCCCTGTGTCTGAGTGACGGCCAGCTTTTGTGTTCTGAGCCTACTGAAGATCCTGTAATAATCAGACTCCTGCATTATGCTGGATACTGCCTGGGATTTCTGGGATCACTGCGCCTGCCAGGGTAAATGGTGCCATTTGGTAATGGATCACAGATGATGCAGTGTGTTCAGTGTGGGTGTGTAGATCCACAGTTGCCTACAACTGAGTGTGTGCACTTTATGTATGTGCATCATTTTTCTTAGAAGAACAAATATTGTCCCCTGTAGAAAATACTCGATTTCCTACATCTGGTCTCAAAATTAGGTCACTGTTTCTGAATGCTCTGCATATCTTCGAGGGATGTAAGCACATATATTTCTATTAAGATCTTGTCTGACTCTAGTGTTAGTATTTTTTGTTTATTTCAGTTTGTCAGAGCTGATTTACAAGAAAACTCTTCTTGAACAACATAAATAACTGATGTGATAATATTCAGACAGTTTTTCTTTCTGAGACAAGGAGAGATGGTGGAACTAAAAGAATTTGGACAAACATCTATGGAGTGATGACATCTGAGCACAAAGGCTCAAAATATATAAAATAGTTATTCAAAGAAAATCCATTTCTAAAAACCACTATTTTAAATTGGTTTTGTGGCTTCTTACAACACACAAGACTTTATTTTACCTAAAGACAGTGATTGTTAGATGCATGTATGAAATTTGTGTGGTTACAGAAGTCTGCAACAAATCTTTTTGTTGAATTCATTTGGGACCATTGTGCTAAATTGCGATGGTCTCGTTGTTGCTCATATGGTCCACAAATGTAAATATTGGCTGGAAACAAAGTGTTGACTGAACAACACCAAGGTGGTGTGCCCCCCAAGACAACATATTGCTGCAGTGTTTGTGAATCTGTACTTAGACTTCTGACTACTTCAAAAACTTGACGTGATTCAGAGTTATGGAGTGTGCGTGGTACGATAGACGGCGTCCTGGGTTTTGACAGCTGCATCACTGTAGGACAGTAATCCTCTGGACAAAAATGCAGTTTGATCATGAGCAGAAAATGAGGCACAAAGTTCTCCACCACAATGTTTTAAATAAAAAAACTTCTTCCAAAAAGGGCTTTACCCCATCAGAGTAACAATGCCTGTAGAAATGATAACATTTACCTAAATGCGTCCTGAATTTAGCATAAAATAATATTTGTTCATGATGTGTTAATTAATGATTATCTGAGCTCTCAAGAGTGTTGTTAAATCCCTGTTTAGTTCTCTTGGACCAAATACTCCTTGTCAATGGACGAAGCAAAACCAGACATTCGACTTTTAACAGTGCACTCTGATGCCTTGTGCTGGTTTGATTTCTTTTCTAAAACAAATGTCATTTAGCTGTACATAACTATTTAAATAGTCTTTTTTTTCTAATAAATTGGGCCTGTTTGGATTTCTATGAAAAAGCTCTTGCTGAAGTATTTCGATGTTGTGACTCCCCTAACACCCACTCCCCCACTTTCCAACCAGACAGTACTATATGCTTAGTATCCTTCAGGACTATGAATTTGAAATGGGAGAAACTAGATTTAAATAAGGTGGAACTTTTATTTATATTGCCATTTTGTTCATCATAGCAAGGAACTCAATTATAAAAAGCTCATCCCCGTCCTCCTATAAATGGTGAACGCATAATAAAGCTCTTTGGAGTGCTGCTCCTATATTATCTATTTCTCCATCTGGATACCTTTTTAAAAGGTTTCTGGAGGTTTCTCTAGCAGTAACAACTTCTGATTAGGTGCCTCGTAAGATTGTAATTAATCCATCAATTCCATATTGTTTTCAATTAAAGTCAATGACCTATCTATTTAATTGAATTAACAGTTCTGATTATTTACTGTAAAATTCAATGCTCACATTTAAAAAGAAAAGAAAAAACATTTTCTCATAAATTTTACCATTAGAAAAGACAAATGTTGGAAATTGTGGAAGCCTTAGACCTCGACGAGGCTGTTGCAGGTTCGATTCCCAGCCTTACGACCTTTGCCGCATATCTTCCCCTAGTCTCATAACCCACTTCCCTGTCAAGTAACTATCAAATGAAATAAAAAGAGCCAGAGCCAGTGATTGCCAGGTGATGTATATCCAGCTGGATGCTCCTCTTTCTTTATTCACCAGAACATTCTGTACGTCCACAGGAAAACGTCTCCCTGGCCGACATTCTTTCGTTGCGGGACAGCTGCCTCAGTGAGGAGGAGGTTTGGGCCGTGTGTGCAGAGTGTGTTTTGGCCCTGCAGAGCATCAGACCCTCCCACCTCTTCTACACACTATGTATAACACCAGACACTCTGGCCTTCAATGCTCATGGGAATGTTTGCTTCATGGAGCAGCTTAGCGGTGAGTCAACAGAACACATAATGTTTAATTTTTTTTTGTTTTGTTTTTTTGTCAGATTTCTGAAATATTTTGCATCCAATGCTCTTTGCACTTACTTGAAAGATACTTTCTTTAGACAATTTAAGTTTGGAGGATAAATCCTACACAGACTAGATGTAGCTTCCAGTTGTACTACAGCCAATATGTGGGCTGCAAAATCCTACGTGCCTGTTAGTGCATAACACTTATACAAGAAGTAAGCTTTACTCCAATATTACATAACAGACGTGACCAGAAATGCAGCAATAGAAACTCTAAATCTAGGTTTATCCAGGTTAAAATCTAGTTTTTAATTGAGGAACAGTCTCAAAATTAGTTTGCCAATTTCACAGCATATAAAAAGTTATTTAAATGAACGTACGGATCACTTCCTGTATTGCTCCTGTATATGTTTCAGCTCATTCTATTTTTCCTCTCACATTACTTACATCAGCACATTACAAATGTTACACTCTGCTGCATCTACTTGTTCCATGCCTTGCTTCCAGACATCAGAAATTGATAAGCATTGATTCGGTGAACGTAGGTTGCCATGGGAATCGTTGTTGTGGCAACCGTTTCAATAAAGCCAGCAGTCATGCTGCGATGCTTAGTCATCTATTCATACTAACACACTGTTTAGCAAAGATAACACACAGATAGCACCTGTTAAAGTATACATCGCACATTTTGGAAGCAATACATGCACACAGTGGAGATCATTTGAATATCTGGTGCTCTAAATTATTTAGTGTTGACCCATTTGAACATTTCTCTCAGATGTTAAAGAGGAGAAAGTCATAATAACATGACTTCTGCTGCTTTGTTTCCCTTTGTGTCCATCTAGTTGAAGTATCACAAAGCAAAAGTTATGATTCTGGAACTTTTTCCTTCTATATACTGTATATAAACCTTGGACCAATAAAAGAGCGTAAAATAAAAAAAACTAGGACAAAGTGGCAGAGAATGCAGCTGAAAGTAACTGATGAGTGAAAACGCCATATTTGTTCAAGTTTGTAACACCAAACTTGAGCATAATTGCATTACACAATCATTCAATTCATTAAGGATAAGATTCAAATGATATTGCAGCCAGTGAGGAGGATGAAATCAAGAGAAAAGTTATCTGAGAGTAATTTCAATGTTCAAAAAGCCAGTATCCAATTAATGGACATAAAAGCTTCCTGTGGGAGAGCAAGTAATTCCCATCAGTGGTGACTGAACCCTTGTGGCCACAACTGTCAACCAAAACACTAAAATCTTAGTCGGTTTCATGTATAGCTGATAAATGTTGCATTTCTGCTCATTTCTGTTCTGACCAGCAGCTTTAATTTCATGTGTAATGGTGTCAGCATTCTCATTCCTTACAAAAACCAAGTCACATAAACAGCCTATAACACATTAGTTATTCATACAGCGAATGCGCAACTCTCACTTTTCTTAATATTACCATACATGTTTTACTCGTAGCAGTTTAGCTACACTACAGTAATTAGTCTCTTAATCTCTTAGGACTCTGTCTGTCAAACCTCTCAAACTCTAAAAGTTTGTTGAGTATACGTTTTCCCAGAAAGTAAAAAAAAAAACACACAGAAAAAGAAAAGAAAACGTATTCTAATTTTATAAAATTTTATGCTCACAATCAACACAAATAGTTGTTTTAGCAGTTATTCGGCTGACTTCCTGAATGTTGAACGTCCTGCCACAACTGTATCTGCAACTGTGATGTATCCATTTCTATCTGCTTTTGGTTGTTTTTTCATTTAAACCCAAAACTCCAATCATAATCATTATCATAATCAATGGCCGATTATTCTCTTCAATAAAGAGATTGTTTTGGTTCATAGGAGAATCAGTTCTCTTCACCAAAGTTCAACCTTTTTTCTACATTTTTGATATTTGTAGCAAGGTGCTGAGTACATCCTCTCTCTGTAAGTGATCACAGATCTATTCAGCATATTCCCTTAAAGAAATTATTATTTTTTTAAGTCAAGAAAACAATCTGGTATGTGATTACACTGAGGAGTTTGCAGATGTTGCATATGGCTATATTTGGAAACACATTTAGACTTTTGCAGTAGGGACCCAAGAAAACACAGAAAATTTCACTTTAAAATTACTAATATTCTTTGAACTCCCAAGCAACTCTAACCTTGGAGGCTCCAGATTTTCATTAACTCACCACTGGCCACTAAGACATATCAGTACGATTCATTTCAGCTGATTAATTACTGCAGTAACACCAGGGAGGTAGCGGGATGAGTATGTGGGTGCTGCGGTGATGTTCAGCTCATGCAAATTGAGTCAGAGCAACAAAATGTCCTCGTAGTCATCATTCAGGGATGATAGCAGATAACTGTTAACTTTCCCCATGAGACTTGACATTGCAAGCTGTTCCATTTTGGATGAAACTCCTACTGGCGGAGTGCCGTGCGAGATCTGATCGGGAGAGTGTGTTGAATCTGGTAGATTGCTCAGCTCATCCTACCTGTTATGCTAAAATGCCAGAGGCACACATGACTCACACACCATCAGCCTGATATAAACTGCTTCACGCTGAATGACTATTTTTATTTCTCTTCTTTGATGATTATTTCAGTGTGTCACAATTTTTTGCTAGCTACAATGGTTTCACATGTGTCTTCCACTACTTCTTACGCAGTCATGTTCTTTGAAGTGAAAAGTAAAGAAGAGAGAATGAATGAGAAGGAGTCGAGGATGGTGAAGACTTGAAAGGAGAGGAAGAAACATGAGATTACTGGGAATATGAAAGCAAAGATGATCTTAACTGGTGACAAAATGAAGAGAAAGAGGCAAAGGAGGAAACTGCAAAGAGAGGCGAAAGGGGAGGAAAAACTGGAGAAAGAAAAGATTAAATGTTTTTTTATGAAAGAAGCTAAAACTAAAAAGTTAAAGAAGAAATTTCTGGGGAATAAAATATTAAAGTAAAATAAAAGATGTGAAAGAAGAATTTCTGCTCTTTGTAGCCCAGAGCTGAACTCAAACGGCGAACTGTCATGACCCACTTTACTCCCTGTCATTCTTTCATATCCTCCCTCGTTTTTTCCACAGCACTCATGTCCTTCTCCAGTTGAAATGAAGCACAGAGTGCTTATCACATTGCTGCTATGCACCTGTATGTTGTTATTGTAGCTGGTCTGAATGCTGACCTACTTCAAGAGGACAGAGAGGAGGATGCTCCCGATTCCTGCTCACCCCCTTTCAAATTCTCATCCTGGAGATTATCTTGAGATTATCCATCACATGTGAATTATGCAAATTGAGAGAAGCAGCTCCCTTTTCATTGGACTGCAGTGGTTAAATAAGCAGCATGCATTAGTCTAAGAGTTCTGTGTTGTTGCCATCAATAGCTGTGAGAAGGAAACAGGCCAGAATTTACTTCCCTATCAGTTGCTTTGCATTGAAAAATGTCAATTCTCCCCTAGACGTGATGTTGCTGTGCAGTGTCTTGACAGAGACGTTTCTGGATGTTTTTGACCTGCAGATGATCCAGATTGCTCCTTTGTCCCTCCGGAATTTGACAACACGGGCAGCACATTCGAAGTAAGAGAAATGTCTCATCACAGCACATCATTCACACATAACTCACAATCAGGCCCATGTTTTGTAAAATTTTTAACAAAAAGGAAGTAGCTTCTTTATATATTTTGTCTTCCTAAAGCTTTCAGCCATTCATTTTACTTCTCGCACTTCATCAAAGCTAACCTTAACCTAGTTTCTCTGCAGCCTAATTGCCTGGAATGTTTTATATGACTCGGTCTGTTTCTTCTCCATCATTCCACTGTGGGATTCAATACAGTTTTTTTATATAATCAGCTCCTATAATGCTGAGAGGGTCATTCCTCTTTTGCAAGAGCGTTGCTCCAGAGGGATCACGATGCTACTGCAAATCCTCCGCAGTCTGTCAATCTGTTCAATTTGAGTTATGCAGCAGGAATACGTATTGTTGTTCGCAAACACAATTTCCAAACTTGGTTGTTCCTGCAGGTTCAGTTATTGGAAGTTTACAACAACAGCTCAGACCAGAATGGGTTTATACATAGATTAGATCAATATAACATGAATCTCTGATTGTTGCAGTTTGAAAGCTATGAGAAGTCACTCCAGATGTTGAACTGATCATAAATTATTTTTTCCAGGTCTGGCATCCTGTTCAGCTATTTTAATTATAAAACCTGCGCTATGTACATTAATGAGCATAAACAAATCAATGCAGTTTCTTTCAAACTTATATACAGTTAATAATAAACGTTTTACAGATTGTCTGACTTTATTTTGTAACAAAATGCTGTCAAACATCCTGAAATTACATTTTGTCATCCTTGGGAAAGTAGCTGCTACATTTGAAATGTTCTTTTGTTCCAAACAATCTGTAACTCTTCTGAAAAAGAGAAAAAACTGAGTTTGCGTTCGAACAAACACTCCCAAGGTCAACACTTTGTGGAGCTGCTTTTGCAACAGTTGCAGCTGAAAGGCTCCTTAGTTGTGTCTCTAAGTTTGGCTCACAAAACTTCTGGGATTTTACCTCCTTGCTCAAGGAAATATTACTCCTGTTCCTTCAAATTGTTACAGTTTCTCTTAGGCGAATGTTTGAAATTTTTATGATCCACCCAGCATTGTTCTGTGTGTTTGAGAACTTTGATACTTTTCCATTTTCATGGTAGTAAAATAAAAATACAAACAACAAAAGAAAATTAATGTGAACTGAACTTGGAAATCATTTTGGAATGAAGATCAGATGAGAAAAGTTGTTTCAGCTCATCTTATTAATCTGTATCAAAAATCCTTCCTTCCTCAATTACAAATAAAGTCTTACACACAGATATTACAGGCTGTTAAGCTTGAAGGACTTACCTTCATATCAGGGGTTTGTGAAAATACCTTTTATCTACTTCAGCAGACAGAGTCATGCTGGGAGTCATGCTGAGTCATGCTTCACATGATAAACTTCACTTTCATGAGAAATGTCCTGTCACTTTGATGGTGTGAGATCTCACGCTGTTTTAAACATTTGCAAAAATTTTATGACCATTGTTTTTCACAACAAACTAACATTAACAATATCAGCATAAACAGGAGGTGCTTGTCTTAAATCTACTGATGGTGTTATAACCTCAGACACGTCTTCTTTTATCAAAGGGAATGATGCATGGCACATGTGGCCCAAACCTGTAAGAGGATTCTGCAATATTCAAATGTTTGTGCTTCTCTGACTCTGGCTGCAGGGCCACATTTTCTCTCTGGGCTCCACACTTTCCGCTGCACTGAAATTTGTCATTGAGCCAGAGCTTGAGGCTGAGCTGGGAGAAGAACTTCAGAGTCTGCTGCAGCAGATGCAGGAGGAGAAGCCTGATGACAGACCTGAGCTGGAGGTGCAAAAACAGTAACAGAGACGGGTTGAGAGATCAGATGCCTCACTCTGGCATCGATGTCATCTGAGAAAATGAAAAGTTAAAAGTGTTGTTGTTAATTTCAGTGAAAATTGTGTTTTTGATTGATGAGTTTTTACTGATCCAAGAAGAAAAACTTCCTTATAGTCAGTCTTACTGAATCACTCTAGTCTTTAAAACAACCAGGAGGTTTTTCATTACTGTGAGTATTATTATTTTATTGCTTGGACTTTAAAATAAGGCAATTGTTTGCTCCTTAGCAACACCAAGTGGAAATATAATGTAAGTGCAAATCTGTTTGAGCCTTAGAGCCTTTGAGATGAACATTTTTACACCCTGGTTCTGTTTCAGCAAATCAAGAATCAAAATTAAGCACATTTGAATCGCAAAATATTGCTTAGACTACATATTGTAATAAAAAGGTAATTAACTATTATTATTATTTGCCATAAGCTGAATGGAGTCTATGTTGGTTAGCAGTCCAGGTAAAACTGAAGTATGTTTTATCAAATTTCAAATAGAGACTATCAATTTTATTTTAAAAAACACAGAAGAAATTAGTTTTTTCTGAATGTTGCAGACTTTATGATACAATTCTCCCATAGGATATTCTGTTGCTGGCTGAAGAGCAGCTCACTCAAACATCTTCTGCTACCGTATGCCGGAAGTTATCTTCGATTGGACGAAGAGTGCTTTCCATTGAATCAGTTTCAAATATTCAAGGTTCTTATATTTATTATTACAGGGTTTTTTGCTGCCCAAAGTGATTTTCTGGTCTCTAATTTGTGTCTTTGTGCATTCACAGATGAACAGGAGGAATCTTTGGAGGAAAGATGGGAGCATTCCAAAGCCAGATGTCTTTTGAAAAGACTAAACTCAGAGGATAAGACCAAAGACCTTTCTGGCACCTTCGGGACAAACAGTGTGTCCAGACAGCAGGTAACAGCTTTTGGTTACAGTTTGAACGATTTTAAAGGAAACTTTCTCTTGCTCAGCCTTTGTTCATCTGACCACTAAGTTTAAATTATTACCAATATGAACATTTCATGGGCATTTTGTACTTCTGTAGAGGCATTAATAAGGTAGAAATTTGTTTTTCACAAGTTCATGTGATTCTTAGAGGTTTGTGACATTTCAATTTTAAATTGGTATCACTCCAAGCTGGCTATTTTGTGTGACTTTCAGCTGCAGGATATTGTGTGCAAACTAAGTTAATCACATCCACATTGCCTTCATGCACAACTAACACTGTAGCATAAAGAGGTACTTCCTCTCCAGGAAAACCAGGCTAAAACTGATTTCTTTAAAAACGATCAAACATTCAGCAGCATTGTGACTTTGCTTTTTGCAAGCAGGAGATTTTCCCTTTTATTTTCTCTCTTTACTGTTGTTGTTAGTTCACTCATAAAACTAGCTTCTCTAATGGATATGTGTGGCATTCTCTTAGTAGTGTTGCTTGGAAACTACTATTTATTTCAACTGAAATGAATGATAATGCTCTCCTTCTGCAGGTGTGTGGGGCCTGGGATTCCTCTCTATGGGCCGAGGATATGGAAAGCGGTGAGGCAGATGGCATGAATCTGACAGATGAGATGGATTGTCGGTCTTACAACAGCTCCCCAGTGAAGAGGAGATCCCAGCAGAAGTTCAGAGGAGCAAAGGGAGCCCTTAATCGCTCCTGCTCGGTGCCGGACTCCAACAATCCCCCGTGTGTCTCCACTCCACCTCACGGAGATATCAGTATTCCTGTTTCTGACCTCACAGAAATAGGAGCTGATGAACATCTAGACTCAAAGTCTATGTGGAGTACCAGACTGGAGAGACTAAACCGGGGGAAGTCCTGTGAGTCCTACCCTCACTGTAGAGCTCAGGATCAGGAAAAGGCATCACAAGGAACAGATCATGTAGACTCTTGCATCGAAGAAATAAATATTCAAGACTGTGTCCAACCCATGTCAAGGGGATGTATCCAGGACTTGGTCACCTCCTGTGCCTCCTGTCGAGAACTGGAGATGGCACAAAACTCTTTAGAGAATGAGAGCACGACAAAACCCAACATTTCCCTTTCTTATAACTACATGACCAAAAGTATGCTGTGCCTGAACGAAGAATCTCAGGATGAGGTTAGTCTTACATGACACAAACGCTAATCCTTCTGTTAATTAGACCTGCCAAACAAACAGGTTGAACTCCTCAGTTACTAAGTCGTGACTTTTTGTTTGTTCTCGTTTCCTGTCCAGTGGATCTCTCTCAGGGAGCTGCTGACTCATTGTGGACGGAGGCTTACGGTTAATGAGCTGTGGGCTTTGTGTTACACCTGCTTGTCTTCACTGCAAACTTACTCTGACTTTCCAGGTGATTATGTCTTAAAATTCCAGCTCTTTCAATGACAAGAATTATGCTCCAATTCCATTCTGCTAATGGAATTATCGGCTAATTATCGGCTTGTGTCTGTCCCTATCAAATAAACTTAAATTACAATACATTTTTCAAAACACTTCTAGTTTAACGTTGAGCACCATTATAGTCATTATGTTGTAAAGCTAGTGTTCATAAACCACACAAGCATAGTAAACTGTACCAGTTTACCAAATCAACCTTTGGTTGTATTTATATTTGCAAGATTGATAGACTTAAACTTATTTTACTGTTGTTGCACAAAGACATGACAGTGAAATAGCCAATAAAATGTCGTTTGGCCATACAGAGAAAAAAACCCCAAAAAAACAGTAAAATAACAAGTGTGCCTATACATAGATTTTCAGTAATATATTTCTAAATACAGGGAACTTGGCGTTTTCAGACAGTCTTGTGTTGAAACAAGATTGTCTGATTAATTCTGTCTCAAATAGGAATGGTAGTTCATTTACAAAAGGAGAATGATTGGTTCTTGTTCTCTCTGTGTCATTAGCTTATTTATGCCTGGACACAGTGTATGTGAACTGCAAGGGAGAAGTGATTTTTCTCAAACCTAAAACCATCGGTAGGTGTGATATTGTCAACTACTCGACGGCTCTTATTTTTTTCACTTGTAAATGTCTGGAGTTTGTTCAGATGAATTGTTTGTCTTCATGTGTCTTTTTCACAGAATCACACGATGGTTTTTTTCTTGCACCTGAGTATCAGGAACACGGTATTGTAACTGAGAAGGTCTGTCTGTCAAAGCTAGTTTTACCTTCTTATACAATTAACTGGTTATTAGCTACAGCTAAAGATTTTTATTCTATATTTATGCATCACTTGTGTGTTCTCAGGTCTGTGTGTATGGGGTTGCTGCTATCCTTTGGGCGTCAGCCAAGTTCAGCTTGTCACCAAATCAGAAGCTGGCGATGCCTCGTAAAATGAAGAGACTTCTCCTGGAGATGGCTAAGAGGACTCCCATGGAGAGGCCAACCATCGTCATGGCAAAAAAGGTTTCACTTGGAATAATGAGTTTGTCTGCTGCCTGAAAAGCAAAATAATGTTTTATATGACACTGTGATACAATGTTTCAGGAGATTATTCTTACATTTATCTTATTCTGCTTTGATTTAACTTTCAGCTGGATAATTTAACCTTTAAAAGTCCTTGGAAATAAATGTAAATGGAGCATTTTTTAAAGTTATGTTTCATTTTATTAGTTGACCTGAGTGACAAGGAAACAATAATAGTAATCCACGATTTTCTGTTTTTTTGGATAATACATATGATGTGAAAGAGGTCCATTTCTGGTTGCCAGTCTTCAAAATAAGAAATACAAAAGAATAGAGATGTTATATAAGGCAGGTGTGTAAAAATCCCTGATAAATGAGTGAAATTAAATAACTGTTCTTCCTACGGTGCTCTCATTCAGTCTTACATTAAAAACTCTGACAAAAAAGTCATTTTATTTTGTGTTGGGTTCAAATCCATCTTAGTTATATGGACTGCAGTGGAGCATATATTTTTAATCCTCTATAGTTTTTTTGATTTTTTTTTTCAGAGCTGCATCTGTAATCTTTCTCGTCAGGGGATTAGCGCTGAGACTGTCTGGGGAAACCTCATCAGCAGAGTTCACCCGGTAAGCTTTTCTGCAACGTTGCAGGTTTATGTGTTAATTTCCTAGGATTATATGAACCTCAGAGTCAGGGTTGTCTGTTTTGTATCATTAAGTTTGTTGTCATGAACGGTGATGTCTTTTTTTTCCAGCCAGCTTCAGAAGGGCACAATACTGAAGAACTGAGTGAAAGTAAAAATCAGAGCTCTACTGATGAACCCCGACCCAACAGTGGTATGACGGTCCTATTTAAGTACGAATGACCCTCATGCAATATACAGAACTTTGCATTAAAATGCAACAAACTTTTACAGTGTCTTGCAAAGTTGTTCCTGCCACTGGATTTTTTTTTTCACATCATTTTAGAATGCGACAAATTTGAACATTCTTATTTTGTGTCACAAATTTGTATTTAGCCTCCTTTATTCTGATACCCCTAAATATAATCTGGTGTATTCAGTGCCTTCAGAAGTCTGTTGGTTGTAAATTGGATATCCATGTGTGTACTTAAATCTCAGCACAGATTCATCTTATTAGGAGAAGGCCTCAGAAGTTTGCCAGAGAATCTTAATGAACAAACAGCATCACAAAGTGACTCAGCAAAAAGACAGCCTCAAAAGACCTAAACCCAATTGAGAAACTGTGTTTATGTTAGCAGTTGTTGTCTTACTGACTTTAAATTTGTTTGCAAAGAAGAGTGGACATAAAATTTCTCTTCTAGCTATGCAAAGTAGGTACCACAAGAGGCTGTAACTGTAATTGCAGAACAAAGTGATTCTACACAACATTCACTCAGGGAGCTAAATTCAAGAGTGTGCCACACAATTTGGATTTGTGAAAAAAAATATTTTGTGTGTGTTTATGCGCTAGTTTGTGTAAGTCTATCACATAAACTCCAAACAAAAAACGCAACAAAGTTGTCCTACGGTAATAAAATCTAAATATATTTGGGTATAAATAAAACTTATTGCAAGGCACTGTACTGCAATAAGTTCATTCTTGTTAGCAAAGTCAGCACAGTTCACAGAAATGGCTGTGCAGACATTTCTGTGTGTAGTTTGTAGTTTCCTTTTGACTGAGTGTTATCACTAGAAACAAGATCATGACCATTACCACGGCAGCAGATCACCCAAAACATTTTAAAAGTGTTATTTGTACATAAGCAGTGTGCATTGCATGAGACAATATCACTGATATTGTATCTGGGATTGTTGTAACCATGTGTAGGCTTTGTGCCCATGGCCACTGAGAGCCGACTGGCTCCTGTGCCTGGCCCTGTTCCCCACAGCTATCCTGTCAGCATGGAACTCCAGCTCCCAGAAGCCTTCACTTCCACCGCCACACACTTCACCCCAATCATCCTGACCAGTGAAGGGGAAACAGAGGAGGAGGAGAACCAACATCTGGGAACTGTCACTGTAAGGTACGAAATCAAAAATACATTGTAATGTATTTTGTAATGTAATGATAAACTACTTAAATGTGGTGCAAATTTAACTTTATACTTTGTTGAAAAGAAAGAAGACAAACAACATGGTAACATTTAAAACTTACCTGGATTGTTTCTTTAACAGGACAGCAGACAGACTGACAAAGAACAGTGTTCATGCTGCAGAAAGCTGCCTAGATGCCCCTCTTTCTAAAGCCAATCTACTTTCAGAAGAGCTGACTGAGTTTCACACAGTCATGAGCACTTCTTCCAAAACGTCCAGCACATTACCCGAGGACACTCCTTCAGCTCTCTCTGATGTTTCCCTCCTTGAAGTCTCCCTTCCCAGTCTCTCTTCCCCCTTATCCACTAATCTCAACAGCTGTGGGATTTTCAACAATTACCTCTTTTGGCAGAACCCCTTGACAGGACATCTGTCCTTGGTGCCCGTCAAAGTCAGTGCTCCTGACTCTCTACTCGGGTTGGACATAAACCCGTCTTTGGTCCCTCAGTCTTTGCTAGGCCTGATAACAGGTCAGGAGACCAACGGGGGCCTGTTTTTTGACTCTGTGAGTGTTGCTTTGAGGCCTGGGACTCAGAATCTATTTTATTTAAATGGTAGCCCGACAATGTCAGACAGCTCTGAGGATCGTGCTTCACATCAAACGTACTGTGGAAAAACAGAAACCAAAACAGAAGGTGAGAAGAGCTCTGTCTCCAGAGGTCAGCCTGCCCGGCAGGACGTGATCGACCTGCTCAAAGGACACTTTTCAATTAAGGAGCATTTAGACAATGGCCGTCAAGACATCATGATGGGTAAGTGCAACACAATCCTTCTACATTGGAAGAAAATTGGCTCAATATATTTGTGTATTATTGCTTCGTTAATAACTCATAAGATTAAAACGGTATTTTTTTCTTTGCACTGGTAAACTTCATCAACTTGAGAGTCTCGCTGCATTTCCATTGACTATATAACTGTACAATTTGACATTTTGAAAATAAATTTTCTTGATGGAAATACTCCAATTTTTAAAAAATAACTAATCTGTTGAGATCAAGTTTTGGTGCTAGAATGAGGGTGTTTTTTGTTTGTTTGTTTTTTTACCTTATCGACTTTAATTTATCTTACAAAACTAAAATGGAAGCACAAGTGACATGATCAACAACTGGATGTTGCCACAGGCGCAATCCACAAACAAGATGACGACAGGAAGTAGTTAAAGGATGTTTTTAGTAACTTTTCTCAAGATAAATTTGTTCAAGTGTGATTTAAACTGAAATAGAAAACCCCTATTACAAATTTTCTTTTTTCTTTTTTTAACATTAATGGAATACTTGCACACATTGGCAATGGAAATTTGTTTAGAGAAGTTCTTGTCCTGTCATTAGCGACCATGTTGATGATTTACCTCATTGTTTTTCTTGGACCATTTTAGATAGATGCTGAACCCTGAACCCTACAAGACCTGCAGCTTTAGTACTTGAATCATTGAGCCTTCACAATTTGACTTTAACTTAAAATCCTTATACTTTTGATGCTTGAGGACAAAATGTGCACCTTTCATAAATATATCCCATCCACAAACATCTGACCAGGAAACATAGTGTTATGCCTGTTTGGTGCATACCAGCAGTTCTCCAAGGAAAAACACAACCCATTGTTTTTTATCATCTGTATGTTCCTTTAATCTCCATCACCATTTGCTCTAAACTTAAAGGAACTTCTTATTGAACTTTTTGGAGAATTTTTGTGTGAAAATAAAATATTTTTTGCATTTTCCCAGGGGAATACCTTTTCTGTTTGAAGGGACTTCGGTACCAGCAGTTTGCCAGAATAGTGAAGGAGAGATTCTGTGACCTGCACTGGGACGATGACTTACTGGGTGTGTTGCATTGCCTGGTGAACTACAGCTGTTCAACACTGTGAGCAGGTCTTTTTTTATTCTCTGAATACAGTTATTTATTGTGTAAATGGATATTCATATGACCAAGTTCTAAATATTTTGTAAATATGAATCTGGAAAACTGACATACATTTGTATTAAGGCCCTTTTACTCTTGTACCCCTAAATAAAATGTACTTGTAACTTAATCTGAAATAGAGCTGAGAATTCAAACAAAATTTACCTCTGACCAAAATAAACACTAACAACCATGTTATAAGCCCAAAAAGACTAGATAAGTTTCTAGATAAGTAAAATTTTGTGTTCAATCAGGTTGTTTATGTATGATATCAAATTTGTTTGATGATTGGAAATATTTAACTGTGAAAACAAAAGCAAACAGAGGAAATTTGTAAGGGGAAAATACTTTTACCCGACACTCCAGATCTAGAAAATAACACCATGAACCTGTGTTATCTAACTATTAGCCTGTAAGCTGCTGCCACAAGTCAGCAACAGTGTTTCAAGGCAATTTCAGGCTTGCTGAATGTGCTGTATAATCTAAACAATGTAGAAACAGGTAATAATATGGTTCACAGTCTCTGATGTGGCTTTGAGGAATCTTAATTTACTCATTTGATAATTTGTGTAATACTAACGTAGGATCTTTTATGATCGCTGAGTGTGTAACTAGAGATGATATCAGAAGAGCGAATCAATCGATTAGAAGCAGCTAATAAAAAGACCATAGCACCCCCATTTTTCCCTCGATTCACTATCACACCCTGTATGCCTGGATTGTGTATGAGTTTTATCACCTCCGCTTCCAGTCCAATGCTTTCCATCATGCCAGCAGAAAATGCACAAAGATAATGAATTAAATCTTCTCATTATGGAGATATAACGTTATACCCAGCATTTAAAAGAGGTTTTCACACAGAATGCAATTAATACAAGAACTAAAGTCAGCAGATTAAATTGTCTCTATGGCAACAGCATGGTGTTTTGTGACATGGAGCAATTTTCCGGTCCACACTGGAGACATACATAAACTACTGCTTGCCTTGTCACTAATATGCTTAGAGGGGCCATTGGTGGAGCTTAAGTGTGTGAATGCAAACAAACATGACATGCAAAAGACAAGCAGAGAGATTAGCCTCTCAGTTCCTCTGACTGCTTTTCATCCAGTGTTGCCATGATCTTGTGCTACGAGACTCTGTTAGGACGACACAACGGCTTTGGAGGGAGATGAACAAGCTTTCTGAGCCAATCAGAGGAGAGCTATATCTATGTATTATTCTGTCCATATAAAACTTTTTTGATAAGCTTGAGCAGTCATAGAGAGATTTATTGATTTGTTGTTTCAGATCAGTATTGCACTGATTAACTGATTATCATTATTATTTCAGTGATTAATGTTATTTAATTACCTCATTTCCAACAACGTTGAGTGCACCGTGTGTTTTGTGTCCCCTGAATCGCCCCATGCAGAGATCATAATGAGCAGTCTCCATCTAAGGCTGTGAAGAGGGCAGCCGTCACTCCACCCTTCACCGCCGCTGCCTGCAGAGGGAAGACACACGTTTGCCTGCACAGATGTCTCGATCTGAATGGAAACATTCATGCTTCTCGTACCATTGATGTTGGGATATGGAAGGGAAGCGAGGCAACATCTTGCTGTGGGGAAGATGAGTCGGTGCTTGAGGGTGCTGAAATAAGATTGGAGAAAAACCGGTTTTGGATAGGTCAAGGTAGGAAACTCAGCTGTGCACACTTATTGAACTGTGTTTAATCGGAACAGGTTTCTGACTGACTGTTTAATTTTGGATGTATTTGTGAAGATATGTAATTTGCAAATGTGTTACTGACATATTGTAATATATATTTACTTGGAAAATGGACATATGTTGTTGTCTTATCTGCTGGTTTCTGAATCTGAATGCGTCCAGCAGCGTAAATGTTGGCAGTAGTTTCACCTTTTGCAATAAGTTTTATATTCATATTGGAATATAAAACTGATGGGTCAGACTAGAGATTGCTCTAATATGTCAGTGTTTTCTCAAATGAGAGTGTTTTGCAGTCGTCAACATTTGATTTTTCTGTCTGTTCCTGACAGCGAAAAGTTTAAGAAGAGTTTTGTTCCCTAAAATGCCAGTTCCATGTGGATGCAGGGCACAAACAATTAATTTTATTTAGAAAAATAAACTGACAATTTAAAATGTGCAGCCTAATCTTTAAAATGATAAACAATGGTAGTACTCAACTTACTACAGAAAACCTAACGCTTAAGCAAGTTTCAAGGGTGACAATAATTAGGTATTGTGAGAATTTCAGCAACACTTGAAGTACAAAGAAACCGCCTATATTAAAAGACCAAGGTTTGTCATGTGTCTTTTATCAGGGTAAACAAAAAATAAACTTTTAAATGAAAAGTATGTTGAACACAAAATAATTAAAACAGTCACACTTCATTCTTTAAAGTGATTTCAATATATGATATGTTTAAAGAGCCGCAGGTTTGATGTATTCACTGATTTTCTGAATTCATGTTCGTTTTGCTACCTGCCTGTGCAGATCATTTATAAAACTATGCCAGATAAATTACAGAAAATATTCTTAAAATAATTTGGTGCTGTGACTTCTTTGAGTGCCTTGATGATAAAACTAAGCTTCCTATAGTTTAACAAAAGTCCTGAAACATGTTTCACTTTGACACATTCATGTTTTTTGTCTTGAGGGTTTTGAGGTTTTATTTGTACAAAAGAATCAATACTGCTTTTAGATTTGAAACCCTTCTGTGATGTGTTGGGAAATGTTTCTTTTTAAATTGACTGACTGACAATATCAAGCTGTTCTTCAGCTTTCCGCACATTCATAAGAGTCCAAACCGTTCCAGAATGTTTTTTTTTTTTTTTTTCTGGAACTCATTCCTCACCAGTCACATTAAGCAGCAACTCTGCTGTAGTTTCTTTCCTGTTAAAACATGCCAGACAATCTTGGCTACGAACAAACTCTATAAAAGGTATGTGGAACAAAAACGTTAGTGATAGGGCTCGAGGTTGAATTGCCTGAAAAGTAATTTTTGTAAACAGTAGGTGCATTGTGCAGCCATGACAGGGTTAGCAACAAATACCCCCAGCACCACTCTGGGGTATCTCTCTGTGTGGTTGTTGCACAAATCCAGTCAGTCTTGTTGCTTTCCATGTGATTCTGACCCCCTCTTCCCTTCTCCCATCTCTCTTTCTCTGCTGTTTTTTTTTCTGTTTACCATTTGAGGTGTGAAGGCAAACAGTTCAGAGTCTGGGGTTATGGAGGCAGGAGGTCATTCAGCAGGTGGCAGCGATGAAAGCCCCTCTGAAGCTGAGTTTGTGTCAGGGAGAGAGGAAGATCTGATGGGAGCCCATGATGAGCAGATGAGTCCTGACCACTCGGAGGACATGGAGGACAGCGACTCTCTGGTGTCAGAGCGGCTCTTTTCGCCCGCATCCACGACAGGCTGCACAGGCCTCAGCTTCAGCCCAGCCTGGGCCATGGCTCTCTTCGGAGAAGATTGTTTTAGTCAGGAGGTGATTGAGTATGCATTGAATCTGGGAAAGCACACAGGATCGCCAAGCCTGGAAGTGAAAGTGCAGGTGGGTAAATGCTGCTGGCCATGAGTCATCTCTGACCTTCTCTCAGTCTGTCTGAGCAAACAGCAGACTGCATCATTTATTTATTAAGCATACTAACTTGATGAAATGTTTTATAAAGCAGGATTGAATATGTTGCATTTTGCATTGGCAGGAATGCATATGTAATGACATCAGGGCTGTCAATGTTTTAAAATGTTAAAGCTGACCTATTAGACCTATTATACCTCTTTGAACAGGCAAGGATAAGTCTATGAATAATAAAAAATTGTTCATGAAATTTTTTTGCTGAAAATAATTTTTAGATAATGATATTTTAGTGTGCTCAGTTCTGCCTATTTTGAGCTCCTTTCAGAATGATTTGTTTTAGGGCCTCTTGTCACTTTAAATGCAACTAAGCTGCTGCTGGCCACGCCCCCAACTGGATATTCACACTCACATGTGAGAATGTCTGCAAACAGTTTTCCATATATATTTGATGTAAAATGCTTTTGTCTTCCTTCATGCTGAAATGTGCCGTGGAAGAAAACGTGGACATGAAGCTCTAGCTTCATGCTTTTATTTTATGTCCAAAATAAAAGCAGTGTGATAATGAATGAAAATCCAACAAACTAGATCATAAAAAAATAGACATATAGTTATATTCAGAGTTTGATTTGACAACTTTGCCACACAGCATGGTATACCAAGTACTGAGCTCCAATATTCCAATATTACAGGACTTACACGTTTTAAAAATAACTAAGATGTCCTTAACGTATTTCCCTTATGCCTTCATGTTGAATTATCCCTTAAATTAACAGCCAAATTATGGATTCAAATGTGAGATGTTTACATAAACAACACAACTCAAATTATTATATGTTTACATCAACATGCTCTGAAAAATTAAATATTAAATTGGGAATATATAACAAATAATTTACAGTTCAAAGAATGAACTAACTAAAAATACATCAATTAATAACTGCCAGAATTAGTAATAAATATTTATGTTATCATAAGTTGCAGCTAATTTGAAGATATTTTAACGCAACTACTGAGATATTGCATAGATTTATGTATTGGCACAATATTCCCCATAAATTTCAACTGCTTTCTGTATTAGTTAATTAGAGGTGAACTTTGAATTTCAGGTAGCTGCAAAGGCTTATTGTGTTGATAAAAGGCAACAAATCTTGGGCATTTTTGTTGTTTCCAAGTATTTGTCACTTTGTCTCCACCCTATTCCAGAACTACCAAGTTTTTGTAATCTAATTATTAATTGTTCAATGTTTTCTACCCCAGAAACTTTCCCCCTTGTGCCAATTCAAACCCAGCAGGGAGAGGTTTTACCACTTCTCCTTTTCTCCTTCTGACATTTAGGGTTAATGGAAATAAGACCTTCCAACCTCGAACATAATTGTTATTTTTAAAGATTAACACTTCCTGTACATTTCTTATCACCTCTTTGACACTTAAAGGACGTCACTTTTCATTTAAATCCACCTGGGGTATGAATAACTTTGGGATTAACTTTACATCTCCTTCAGATGTTTCTCAGTTTGCCAAGACCGTGTTTGGTTCTGATTTTATATTTGTCTTACATAAAGTGGTTTTATGTACATATTTCATGCATTGTTCTTTGAAACATTACTTGATACTGCAGCACAACCTATCTTTTCATGACTGTAGCAAATGATGTGTAACTGCCTAACCACATTACCAAAACAAATAAAACACTCGACAACGAAGTTCCAGATGGGTTTTATGCTTCAAATTGGCTGCAGCTTGTAGTTCCAGTGCTGTCTGAATGTGCTTTCACTTTGCTCTACATATTGAAGTTCCATTCAGTCCGTTCACCCGATCAGGTTATTTTATCAAATGCGGGTATTATTTTTCTATTCCCAAAGAAAAATAGGTCACAGTCAGGCTTTAGGGTAAATAGAATGGTAATGTGAGGGACTTGAAGATAATTGGCACAATATCCTCCTCTAACTGGATCTGAATATTAATGTGTTGAGCTTAGCCCTTGGCAGAGGAAGTTATTATCATTTGCAAAAGAATATTAATGAATACCCTTTGTGTTTTCCCACGTTGATGGAACTACTGCTCTTGCAGACAGTTTGTGTCGGAGCTGATAGTACACCTTAATAGCCGTCCGCTACCGCTACTCCTCGCTTGTTGCACTTCAAAAGAGCCGTTGCCACGGTGAGCAGAAAGTGGGGAAAAAATGCTGCCATGTACACAATGGAAAACAGCCGACGGCCTCTTGCAGTGGAAGGCATGTGGTTGTGTCATTCCTGTGACTCTCTGTGTATTCCTTTGAACAGGAAGTGCAGCAGCAGCTGATAATTGAGACGAGGAATCTGAAGAAAACTAGAAATTTCTATCAAAAGCTGAAGAATCAACATGAGAGAAAAAACAAAGGTCTGTGTGCTCCGTTGTTATAAATTATGAAGATGTCTTCTGTTGTTTCCAATATGAATATAAATGTTTCTATGCATGAATCCTGAAGGTCCTGAAAGCAAACTGATGCTCTCAAAACTCAAGTCACAGCTCGAAGAACTCAGATCCAAGGTGGCCTTTTTGGATTGTGTGAAGAAATATCTTGAGGTATTAGTCAATACTAACATTTTTTATTTTCTTTGTTTTTCCTAATTTGTGTATTTATTTCGTATCTGCACAAGATTTCATCTAGATGTCTTACTTTATGTAATAAACACAAAATCACCTTTCAATGCGATCAACACTACCACACTCTATAATGGATTTTTTAAACTTTTATGTGGTATAATCGTCTTAATTTTCTGACACATTTGCTCATCTTGGCATTCTAAGTGCTTGGAGTGGCTTGTATGGGAAGGTGGCCATTTTTTTATTCTGATTAATTCAGCTAATAACTAATTTGACATCTTGAACAGACAAAATAAACAGTTACCAAGTAAAAGCTACTTGTTCTCTTCTCATTCTGTAGCACATTCCGTTTTTAAAAGTACTCACATTCAGAAGCTTGATAACAGTTTTCAATTTTGTTGATGAAATTTTGTCTTTTGACAGCCACAAAAATGAATATATTTTATGCCACAATAATGCACTGTTGTCTACAACAGTAAAGTGGAGATAATCTTTTGCTTATTATGTTTGCTTATTATTCACAAAATGTCTTAAACTCAGATTGGATGGTAAACATCTGTGAAAATATTCCATGGGTCGAAAACGATGCATCGTTTACCTTCTGCACCACAATTATTCTTTGAGTTGATTTGTCTTATATTAGAATACTTTACACTTGGTTTTGTAATGTAAAAAAACTTGAAAGTCTCTTTGCATGTGAATACTTCTTTCAAAATAGGAAACAGTGTGACAGCAGCTTACTATGCTGTTTTTGAAATGGTTCATGAATATTTGTTTCATGCCTGCAGGTTCTCAGCGTTGATCAATGGGGTCTGGAAGTTTCTTTACTGTCCTCTCTGGCTGTCTGTGGATGCCAGTCCATGAACCTTCAGTCCACTGAGGACCCCACTGTCCTGAGCTTTGGTAGCTCTAAAGGGAAGAGGACTCTGCAGGCTGGCTCTCCACTGGGACTCATGGCTTACCTTTATGCCAGGTACTGAAACCTGAAATCTAAAAACATTTATTCACAAAAAGTGTTTGATGAAGAACTCCAGATTTTCTATCATTTTAGAGGTAGTTTGGACAAAAATACGATATTTTACCACTGTTTTGCACAAATATAGTTTGCATGAACACATCCAGTGTCGTGACAGCAATGAGTGACACAGAGGGAATAACAGCATTTCATTCTTCAAACAAGTAAAAAACAAAGAATGTACAACATAGTTCTTTTTTTTATTTTACCAAAAAGCCTAAATCGGGTGCATCTTATTCTTCATCATGAGCCTGACCAGTCTATCTACATTTCATTTCAACATTAAAGTATTCTGAATTAAATAACCTTCTTTCTTTTCTGATCTCCAGGCGGTCACAACACTACTCCATGTTTTTCTACCCGTTGCTATGGGGAAGAATAATTCAGTTCAATTCAAAAATACTTTATTTATCCCAAGGGGAAAATAAATATCATAACTCATGGTGATGCTGCATGCAGGAAGGATCTCTGATAGCAGTCTGTGTTGCAGTGAATCTGAAGAAGCTTCTGCCTGCAGAATGTTGCTTCATGACGGTGTCATGACTGTTATATGTCACTGTCATGAAACACTAACAGCTCAGTGGAGTAGAGACATGTCCTGGATGATACCATCTGTTATTACTGTTAGTTCACCTCATTTGCTTTTGCCTCAAAAACCCCACGACCGCATGTTTACACTCCATGTCGTTTTAATATAAATTATTTTGAATTCAGTAAAAAAAAAATTTATTTCATTTGCAAAGTTGCCATTTAAAAAATAAGCCAGTAGAAAAGGTGAAGAATCTTGGTATCTTGAGGCCCATCTGCAGGAAGGAAGCAAGGAAGTAAGGAAGGATGAGAGGGAGGAAGACGGCAAGAGAGAGAGAGAATAAAACATTCAGTATTATTTAAGTAATCCTGGTGTTTCTTTTCTTTGAGTTTTGTCAAGTGAGTTTTCTACTAATGTGAAACAACAAAAACAGAGCAGTTCTGACTTGGCTGCTGCACAAGAAAAATTAGGCCTGATTTGAAGTTATTTGTACAGATAAGGACACAAAAGCTTGTGGTGAGAAATTAAAGCTTTCTGCTAATCTGAAAGGAACAAGATGTTTTCTAACAGTCTTGAGACACACAAAAGCATTCTCTAACACAGAAAGTTAGTTTTTCTCTCTCTCTTTGCCTCTAAGTGGAAACTCAAGGATAGAAACATGGAGAGAAACATTTCTCACCACCAGTTTTAAGAACAACATGACAACTGTAATCATATTTTCCTCCAATATTCAAACTTCTTTCTGAATTTTTTTTTACAGAAATGCTGCTGCAGAGGGCTACATCCAACAGTTCCTGTACACATATCGTTTCTTTTGCACTCCTGAAGAACTACTGCAGTTCATCATGGATAAGTTCATCAGCGCTTCAAGGTACCAAACATCCAGTAACTGTTGTCAAGAGAAAAAAAAGCACATTTTTATACAATTTTGATATGTCGTTTTAACCAGGGAGGGACCAGAGATGTCAGGGGATAGTGAAAGGATCTTCCATCGCAGTCTGGACCTTCTGCAGATCTGGGTGACAGACTGCAAATCAGTGGACTTCATGCCAAAGTCAAGTCTTGTGGGGACTTTAGAAACCTTTCTAAATACAGAGGTAGACACACACCCACTAACACTTCCCTGCAGTCTAAAGTAACTACTTTTTCCTGAGAGTTAATTTCTTACACATGTAACACTGATTGTCTTTTAACAAATGTGAACCAGATGTGTGTTATTACTTGAAGAATATTAATTTAAATTCAATCTAATTAATAGAAACTACAAAAAAAATATTCTTTTTGCGTTTCTTTCTGGTACATTCATTTGCTACAACTGGCTCAAAGTAATAAAAAAACAGGAGACCATGCAGTGGTTAAAGTGCACAAAACATCTTTGCATTGTGGATGTCAGGTGCAATGTAAATGCTTGGATGTGTTGAATGAGTGCATATAGAAGTGTTGAAGTGCAAAAACAACGACAAACACAAATGTGCAAAAGGAGGGGAGCCTGGAAACATAACACCACCAGCGGCAGAGTGGACGCCAAAGGCGATGCAGAAGGTGGAGACAGCCAGGAAGAAGCCTGAGTTATGACCCAGAGATTATTTAAGAATTATTAAACCTGTTTGTAGTTGTGAATGCTGAAAAAAAAATTTACCAGAAGAAACACCTTTTATTGAAATAGGCAAACATAAAAAGTGTGATTTATTTAAGAACGGCCCCTGGTTGACGTTCAGTTACCTGAGTTCTCACCAACTTTTGAGATTTTTCAAGTTCTTTAGTTTTTACACTTTAACTTTCCACAGGTGATTCCAGTTGACAGTCAAGGTGAGGTCCTTCTCGCCGTCCTCTACAACCATCCAAACTCTGGCACACTGGGTCAGGTGACAGGAAGTCTGATCAGCCTGAATGAAGAAGAGGACTCTGTGTGTTTGCATTCATCTACTGATGATCTTAGCAAAAAGGTCTGAGTTTGGCTTTTTGCTTATTTGCTTCATAATTTTGACTTTAGTTTGCATTACAACATAGATCCTTCACTGCCTTGGATGAACTCTACTATAAATATCAAATTATTTTCTATCATCTGCACTGGAGACATAGAGAACAAGGTTACCAAGTTGTCTGAGCATGCATACTGTTGTTTGTGTGGAATTAAATACTGAAAGATAAAATGGGGCATCTTAAAAAAACTGAAATGTGGAGTTTAATCAGTGAAGTCATCCATTCTGTAAAAAAAAATGTCAACCATTTTACCCCTGAACATCTGAATGAATTGACATTCTGAATGAATGGTTGACATTTTATTGAAAAGTTGATTTAAGACACATAAAGAAGTGCAAAAAAAAATCATGAACTGAAACCAGAAAAAGTGTCCAGTACAATCCTTGGATTTGAATTCAATAAAATACTTTCAGGCTAATCTAACTAAGCTTGGTTTACTAGTTTTAATCATTTTAAGTGTCATTTTGTACACATGTTTTATTTTATAATGAAATACTTAAAGCACTATGCAAATATCTGCTGTCAGAAACCTGACACCAGGCAGATTAGAAGCAGTTCTCAAAAATAGTGAGGATACAGCTAAGTATTAAATCAGATTTACAGAAATCAGATTTACTAAACTGTTTAACCGCCTTTTGGTTTTTACTAAAAAAAAGTTTCAATTTTGAATACTCTAATGTTCTTTTTCTGTTGCGTTATCGAAAAGTTGAAAAAATATATAATTGTTTTGCTATATGGAGTAAAACTTGGGGAGAAAAAAGTATTGTAAGAAGATGGCGCTCTCTGTACATCTGTCAGCTATTCTTCCTGAACCCAGCTGTATTTCTGTTATGATCTATCTCTTTAAGCACATAAATCAGTAGATTTTCTTTTTCGGTCTGTATCTGAAGCAGAGAGAATCTGTGATGCTCTTATCTGGAGAAGCTCAGTGAAGATTTTTGGAGCTTTGGGAACAGCGGTTCTTCTTTTAGCTCATGATAGCCTTCCACTGCTGTGCAATCTAACAGAATCAGGGGTTTATGTAACACACGTCTACTGTGAACTTTTCAGTGGAGGATCTCACGAGTTGTGGAGCCCCCTGATTCCATGTCTAAAGAGAAGACCTTCTCGATCGCTGCAGCCCTGCCTGCTCCTTGCTATGACTCCCTGATGCACGATTTGTCCAACGTGTGTCTGCAGAGTGAGGAGCGACTCCCGTTCAGCCAAAAGGAGCTCAGCGCACTGCACGTAGCCCAGCAGCTGACGCTTCTGCAGCAGGTTTAGTCATCCTCCATTCAGGTCCTACACAAGACGTTGTTGTTATCCATTTCAACCGCTAGAGGGAGATATTTCCATAACAACACTGAAAGGTGCTGGTTTGAATCAACCAGATTAAGCTTTGAGTTGGACTTCTCTTCCACTGCAGGAAGTTTTCCAAGGATGTCATCCAGTTCATTTCCTGAAGTCCAGAACACAAGGAGTTGGAGGCAAACTCTGCAGCCCAAACAAGTGAGTGGGAAAAATAAAAGGTTGCATTTTATTATCCATTTTAGTTTTTTTGGCAGATATTTACTTCCCTTTTTCTGTCTATTATAGCTCTAATTTGATTCTGGTGTCAGAGTTTCTGATATATTCATCTGTTTTGCCACACAGGAATGTGTCACAACTTATTCCGCCAGCAGAGGGCAGCAGCGGGCTTGTACTGGAGGGGAGCCTGTCAGACAGTTTCCTCCAGCAGCTGCTCACATACGATGAGAGTGTCACTAACTGGATCTCTGCAGAGATAGTCATATGTGACTCCGCAAAGGTGAGAGGAGCTGTAACCGATGAAAGCAACAGGGAAGTGTGTTAGAAGTGTGTGGTAGTTTCAGTGTCGTTTCTGGTGTCAGGAGGAAAGAAAGAAATCTCAAACCTGGAAGATTTCTGAAGGAAATCACATCACACGATGACAAGTTACTGATACTGTTCCACATCTTGTGACAAGAACTATACTTTACATTCTGACATCCTCCTAAATTACCCCGACAGTTCAGCTAGTTCCACTGAAGCTGTGTTAGTCTGAAGAGTTTCGAGGTGGATATCTGCTAATATCCGTTAATTTTTTGATTTAACAGAAACTCTTATTCCAGATGAGATCTAATCATCACAATTTTGACATAAATTGTTTTTGCATTTCTCCTCATAGTGACTCACAAAAAGAAGAGTTTTTCTTGATCTTTTCCCACATTTGACACACTAGCATCAAAAACGTGTTTATTTTTTTGTATTTTCTGTAACAGACACACAGAAAGTTGTGTATAAAAATGAAGTAGAAGAGAAATAAATAAATCCATCCATCCATCTTCCATTCCCAGTTGTCCTTCAGCGGTGACTGAGGCAGCAACACCCTGGACAGGTTGCCAGACCATTACATGTCAACACACAAACACAGAGGACAAACAGCCACCTGAGGGAAACGTAGAGAGACCAAATCAGCTATGATTCTGGACTGTGGGAGGAAACCCACACATGCTTATGGAGAACATGCAAACTCCATGCAGAAAGGCCTCCGTGCTGCAAGGCAATGGTGCTATCAACTGTCCAGGCTAAACAGCCCAACCTTTAAACAATTTCGACTGTCCAAAATAAAAAGAGTGTATAACTGCTTGCAAACCTTTAAAGACATGACTATCCACCTAAAACTAAGAAGAGTGAACAATACTTAAGCATTACGGCCATGAAAAAGTTTAAATCAAAACGTGTTCATGTTCAAGGATCAATTCATCACAAATGTTCCACATCAATTAATAAACAGAAATATGTAGTTCATTCAATCTAATTGTGTAAAGTCATTTCCGATTTGATCCTAGTTACGAGACGATGCATCGATCCGTCACCCAGATGATTTCTAACTGAGGAAACTCAGATGTTTGCATCAAGCCACTGACTTGCAGCAGTCCTTCATTCGGAGCATGCATGAGAAACCTTCAGCGGAACCTGGCTCAGTGAGAAAGAGAAAAGAAAATTATTGGCAGCAGTAGTTCAGCCGATGGCCCCCTCCAGACATCCAGGGCCACGTGTGTCTACCATAAAGAGAAAAATACAGAGAGAGCATAAAGTTAATGAATGCAGTTACTCCAGATAATGCAGGAGTGTCTGAGAGGATTTGAGAGTTGGAGTTTTGCTTCTGCAGCTACAGTGACTATAAATTTACATCACATTTTTCATGTTATTTTTGAAAAACTATGTGTCATAATCCCTGGCATGAAATCCTCCTAAACTACATTGGTGTTTGCAGTGTTAATATGACAAAATGTCAATGTTTTGGATTTATTTTCCTAATTTTTTATTTATTTGTTTATTATTTTTTATTCACTGTACACTCTCCTGTCTTCCAGACCCAAGCTGCCTTGCTGACCAGGTATCTGTGGATCGGAAAGTATTGCTATGAAATGAGGAACTTTGCCACAGCCATGCAGGTTCTTGGAGGTCTGGAGAATTTGATTGTCAGGCAATCACCAGTAAGGCTTCACTATTACAAACTTCTAACTTTGTCTAATAAGTCTGGTGCCCTCGAGCTAAGCATTTTTTTTTCTGCCGTGATTGAGCTTGGATGGTATTTAATTAGTTTCACAAATGAGAAATTAGCATTAATGAATTCAAATAAGATGTAGACAGAGTGAGCTCAGTGAGGGGAAATGTAGGTATGAAAAGTAATTAAAAAAGCTCACAATGAAAACACAGCAATGCTGAAAAATGAAGAAAATTTCCATATATTTTCCGAAAGATATTAGGTTCCCCGACAACAACTGGTATTATAACAGCATTAACGCTACAATTTATAATAAGTTTATAACAGATCAAAATGCTCTTATTTAAAACATAAACATTAACATTACTCCCTTTGCTACTAAAACAATCTAATATTTTCACAATATATATGCATAAAACCCAAGTCATGAGTTTCACTCATTTTCTTTCCATCTCCATATTTTGTTTCAAAATAGATCAATTTGTCTCTCTTGTAAGTGAAGAAAAATTACTGTAACCTTTTTCAACAAGCTGACAGGAAGTGTGCTGCAAAAGATAGAAGAAGTTGTTACTTTGCTCTCACCTTAGGTACAAAAAAACTCTCAGTAACTCCTAGACCTCCTCTTGCATTTCATTCAAAGTACTTTAAATCACTACAATGTCATTTTAAAACTTTATTATACCTAATAAGAGAAATCAGCGCATATCTTGTGTGAAGTGTTTGGTATAGTAAACCTTTACATTAGTGATGCTCTAAAGAGTAACGTCCACTTCTTGTCGCAGGCTTGGAAACACCTGGCTTCCAAAGTCTATGACATCCTGGAGGAGTTGCGAGCCGTTCAGGTGATGTGCAAATCTGAGAAGGTTTAGGGTCTGAGTCGCTTCAAGGCAATAAATACACAGGAAGAAACACCTTTGAGCAGGAGAGTTTCATAGTTTACAGCACATCCAGAATACCACAAATCCAACACTGTCCTGTTTGTCAGTCCTGGCTCTTTTCTACGTTAAACTGCAGGTGTTTCTGAAGAGCGATGACCTGTGTCTGATTGGAGCAGAGCAGAAGAGGACGAGGCCCACACTGCCGTCCGTTCACATCCTGGCTATGCATGTACAGCAGCTGGAGATTGGTGCATTCACACTAACCACTGGGGCTTATAAGTGGACCAAACTCAGGTATGCTTTGGATGCAGAAAAATGTAATTTACACAGAAAGTCAAAGGTTTTTCAGTTTTATTCAGGCAGGATGGGGCTGTTACTGGTTTAGTAGTTCAATAAGAAAAAGGAAACAACAAGAAAAAAAACACATGACTCAGTCACTCAATGTCAAAAACAGGAATTTAAAATTTGAACAAAAACCTAAGAGCTTCATTTTAAACTCAATAAGCCTCAGTTGGATGTTAAAGTTTGTGATGGAACAATACTACAAAAATACAATTTGCTAGGAAACAGTTTCTTGTCTCTAAAGAACAATGTTGCATCAGGATTTAGGTTTGCAAAACTGCTTCTGAATAAAATACAAGATTTTTGAATAAGGAGGAACAATGTAGAGAATTATGGCCTTCAGCGTGTTTGTAAAAACTTAAACAGCATTTCAGCGAAGCATTTGTACTTAGCATTATAGAGTTAAACATGAGAAACTTGGTCTTCAGCAGGACAATTATCCCAAACACAGTGGCAAATAACAGACATAGCTAATCTAATTTTAAACTCTAAACATCTCTAAACGTGATGTTGAAATTGCACTAGACTTCTTACAAAGTTTAGGAGAGTTATTGTTGTTGTGAATAAAATTAAATGTGTAGATATGTCAGTAAGTTAGATGAGACAATGAAATCATGTAAAAGTTTATTTAATTTTAATTTAAAAATTCAAAAGACTAGGTCACAAAAGGTCAATGTTGTTCAGAGAGCGCTGTATTCAACCCAAAAGTTTAGTGGAAGGAAAAACTGTGGCAAGAAATGGTTCACAGATATATCAGATTAAAGATAATTATTTCCTAGGCCTCATAATTAAGAAATAAAATTCAAGTTGCTCATATAGAAATATTCCATTAAGTGATGATTTGGGGAGTCTGGTCATCTGTTGGTTTTGGCTTCCTTAAAACCTGAGCAGACACACAGGCTGAACGGCTTCATGCCACGGTGCTGCAGTAATTCATGCAAAAGGAGCACAAACCAAGTACTGGCTGCATATATTGTCCATACTGCTGGCTGATATTTGTGCATAAAAAATCTACTTTTATTCATCTTCTGCAATATTATAATGTTCTGAGAAACTAAAGTTTGAGTTTTCATCAGCTGTAAACCAAAATCTTTAAAATATACCAAAAAATGTGCCAGTCTGTATGTACAAATGTAACTTTTGGAATAAATTTCCTGACATAACTGTTGACACAGCTGTCAACACATATGATTATGTGACAAGAGTAAACAGGTTTCATTTGGCCGCCTGTCTGTGAATTGTGTTACATATGTGGAAACTAAAAGGGTCAAATTGTATGTCCATGCTCTGCATTAGCAGCTGATTCTGTCCAGAAACACTAAATGTAGACGATATGATGGCACTAAAGTGGGAAAATTATCCAAACTGCTGGGAGATTTCTGCTTAAACTTGCACAACTAAGTGTCCGGTTGCTATGTAACATGTATCCAGTCGGAAAAATAATCCTCTCATATATCACTGCAGCGGCACAAAATGTGAACAGTTAGTATCATTATGTGAGAATTGGCCTTCCCTCCCTCTCTTTCTGCAAATCAGTTTATGACAAAGTCGGCCAACTCACAAAAAGGACATATTTTCCTGTGTCCTTCTTCTCCACTCCAATATGGCTGACCAGATGCTGAGGTCAGAACAAGTGGGGCTGGGATGGCGACGGCACAGCTGTTGAATCTGGGTAGTTTGTTGGGGTGCCAGTGTTGCTGCAGATGGTGCCTGTGGGAGGAAGGGTTGATTGGAAAAAGGTTTGTGGCCAGATGCTGAGAGGTGACCGTGTGTAGCCAGATGATGAGGTCGGGAGAAAAAACAGCTGGTTACCATAGATTCTGGGTTTTTCCAGCTCGCTCCAAAAAAAATCAGGTCAAATCTGATGAGATTAAGAAGAAGAAAAGCAGATATAAAATGCATCTCCTCTGTGCTTCTTTCTTGCTGTCTGTGTTTCTTTAAGCTTTTCTTTGGTTCTTGTTTTGGCTTCAGGAACATCGCAAAGGTTGTGAGTCAGGTCCATGCCTTCCAGGAGGTTGTGTACCCGTACAGCCCAGACCAGGACCTTCAGGCCTACCTGCGCCGCCGGATCGCCCGATTCGCCACGACGGACATCCACCTGCTGGCCGCTGACAGCGATGCCAACTTTCAACGGTCCAGCGAGCGTCAGACACGGAGGATCCACGACACGCTGAGGAGGGTGAAAGCTACTTTCCAGTGAAACTTGCTTTGCCTCATTTTAGAGATGAACTTAAAATCCAGGACATTGTCCTGCGTCCAGACTTATTACATTAGTGCTGTGGAAAAGTATTTGCTCCCTTACAGACGTCTTCTGCTTTTGCTTCTTTGTCTCAGCCACATGTTTCAGATGATCAAACAAATTCAAATGTCAGACAGAATTATCTGAGGTAAATTCCAAAAGCTTTCTAATTGTCTAATTAAATGTCCTATGTGTTATTTAAATAGAATCAGTGTGACAGCATGAAGTAGGCAGAAATATCTCTAAAACCAGTGCAGCATGCCCTGATTCAAAGAATGTTGACATAACAAGCAAAATTGCTGAAATAAGAGTCATGAAAGTATTACTAAGCCTTTTTCTTAATGACACTGAAAACCAATTATTCGCAAATGGAAGAACAACTAACAATGGTGAAGCTTTTCAGGACTGAACAATCTACTAAATGCACAAGAGCTCATCACCGACTCATCCAAAAGTTATCAGAGAACAACATTTAAAGTGCTTGACTTTTAAAAATAAATGTTTCCACTAAAATACAGAGAGAGGTTGAACACTTCTGAACAGAAAAAAGAAACATAGTTGCATAATTTTGGATAATGTACGGTGCGAAACTTTCATCTGGTTCCTGCTAGATGAAGGTAGGTGTGACTGTACAACATCATAATATAAGCTGTTTATATCTATTGATTTAGTTACTTAACAGTATTTATTGCAATTGTAAAACATTGTGTTTTGTGTTGAATATTGCTTGTGGATAAAAATTTGATTAATTTCAACAAATTGCAGTCACAGTGACAGTGAATAATGAAGACATTTGCAGTAATCCAGACCTAAATCTGTTGGGATGTAAACAGACTGTTCCTGCTCAAAGATGCTCTAGTGTAACTAAATTATATCAATTTTGTAACCAAGGGCTGGATAAAATTCCTCTGCAGTTTTCATGTTTCAAAATTTCTTGATGGAAGTTGCTTTGCCCAACGGTGCTGCAACCAGTTATAGGGCTTAGAGGCATCATCATTTCAGTTTGAATAGATTTTTGTCCTTAATAAATTAAATGATAATTTAAAAAGATGCATTTTGAAAGTAGTTTTGCTTATCTTTGTCTAATATTATTACTTTTCTGAAGCTTTTAGTTATGGTGGAAAAGCAAAATCAGAAGAAATTTCAGTGGAGAGTTGCCACCCACCCTGTGACCCTGCAAACATAAGTGAGGATAGATGATGGATGGATATATTTTTTGTTTGCATTTTGTTCCTTCAACAAAATTAAACAATGTTTTTTTGTGTTGATTTTTTTTTTGTTTTTCTTAGCTGATGCACACTTGCATATTTTTTTGTATAGTCTATTTAATTTATTTGGTATGTTTTCTCTGATCTATAATTATTTGTGGCCTGAACATGTGAAATGCATGTCCATCGAAATGATAAAGGTGCCTAAAAATCACAACTTGCACATGCAGTAGTGTAACAGCGTGATTCTTTGCTTGGGATTGACTCAGCTAAAGCACAATTTCAGCAGCTATGTTTCTGTCAGTTTTTTTTTCAGTAGACTTTCACATTTTCCACAGTCAATTATCTGTAGAACCACTTAACAGTAAAACTGTTTTGTGCAATGTTTAGTAATGCATGACTCTTTGCTACTTTTATTCCAGTGCAAGTTTTAAATGTTGTTTCATGTGGGTCAACATGCATTAATATTATAAACTGGAGGAGTTGCAATGTTTTCAATCGTACGTTAATTTTCAGTTTAATAAATTCCTTGTAGATATACTCATCCCACTGTTTGGTGGCAGATTTTCTAACTTCTGGCTTTGAAAGTTTGACTTGCTCGTGCAGATTTTTGCTGATTAAATATTCTCTTAATATTTGTAATTCACATCCTTCTAACATTTTTTTTTTGTGCCTTTGTGCCATGGGCAGTCATTAAGGAGCTTTACTATTGCTTAAATAAAACACAGGATTATTATGGTTTTGATTTTAAGTTGTCTCCAGCGTCTTATCTCAGCATGCTTAAGTGTAAAATGCAGTGTTTGTGTGTAGTACAACGATCACCTTAATTGTGAGACTTCCAAAAGAATGCTATTGTTTCCTAATAATGTACATTCCCAAAGGGCCAGAGGTCAAAAACTAAACGAACAGCAAAATGTAACTCATTCAACATTCCTGTATCCCTGAGGAGACAATCAACATGTTTTCATTGAAAAAATCTTGCAATTTGAATAACTCTGTATAACTTCAGTAAAAAAAAAGATAACTTTAAGCCTCATTCCACACAAACTCCACACTGAAGAGTGTTGCTGTTAACCTGATGTGGTCTTATGATGTGTAAGCCAGGCAGCTGTTACTCCAAAGAGTGGAACGTTCTGGGTATTGTGACTCCAGAGGGCGCTGTTACTCATGTATGCCTTAACTTGCTCTTAAAGCCCCACTCACAGTTGCATCATCTAGCTAAAACCAGATGATGCTTCTTTTTAACCTGAAAATGTGAAAAAACATTAACATAAAAACATATTAAGTCACAAAATAAAACTGTTACTTTTCTGACCTTTTAAACTTTAAAATGGACTGTTGACGTCTAACTGTCCCCAGAAATCCAGATTATTACAATTCTATTGGACATAATCAGAAAACATAGTCATAATTTGAGTTGACTATTAACATAAGAAGTGCTTCTGGTCAGATCAGTGGTGAAATGTTTTTCAGACATAAATCTGAGACTAGGAAGTCACATGTAGGACCTGATGTGACTTCCCAGTTTACAGTTTTTCTATCACAGCACATCATTGACTATATTTTATGAAGCCTCATGAAGAATTGTTGGCTCAATTAAAGAGAAGTGAAAATCCTTCTAGTAAAATGGCAAGTTCATTTTAAGGTTGTCATGTTAGCATGCTGGTATCTGTTAGAATAAAGATTAGATGTTTCCAATGATTGAGGTTAGCTTCAAGTAACTGCAAGTATAGAAGTCATTAATTATTTTCTAAAACTGGAAACTTGTTTCATACATAATTTGTTTTCTGGGTAAATTGCACAGGGTAGCATGTTTTAGCAGTAAGCTGCTCCCTAGCAGCAGTTAGCTCAGACAGTCTGCAGCACAGAGTGTTTTGCTTCAGGTGTTTGCTACGTTAGGTTGGGCTGTAGTTTGGGGTACATTTTCTGAAATGTAGGCCAAATGATTCTCAAATCAGGGGGTTTGAGTGGAGTGTGACACAGTAAACCTAATCAGCCTCTCTTGAGTGGCTTCAACTCTCTTACTCTCTACTGTAAACACAAAGACTGACAAAAAAAAGATCAGATCTTATCTTCAGACTAGGTCAACCACTCAGTGCAATAATTGTCAGGTTATTGTACTTTCTATCATTGTTTCTCCTGATATGGTCTTTGCAACGCACACAGTCCTGAAGTTTACATTTCGATAACCTCCTAGTTGATCTGGTAATGTGTAAAACAGACACCATCTGGTCAGACATGAATCGGAGGAAAATCCCATTCAGGATTTAAAATGATGATGGCCCACTCTTCAGTTGAGTTGAATTTTTTGTCTGGATTTCTTCCAATAATTTGTTATAAAACCACTGCCAGTTAACTGGAATGTTTAGCAGTGAGGAAATTTCATGATCGGTGGCATCTAATCATGTTATCACACTGTAATTTCTCAAATTTCTAAGGAAAACATTTTGTTTCACAAATGTCTCTGAATGTACTGTGCACGTTTAGTTCCTGGATTTTATGTCAATGTGTCAATTGGTGAGTGAATATTTTTCAAAACTTTCCCAGCTGGTGAAACAGATTTTTTGTTGAGTATTCAAACAGTTTTACCAAGTCAGTTAAAAATTACAACACAATCATCATCAACAATGAGTATATTGTCCAATATGTTGCTTTATTTTATTTTATTTTTTTTGTCTTTAAAATGTTTATTAATTGCATATGCTTTCTCCTTCCTGTTTTCTTTACTTAGTTTATATTATTAGAAGGATTTCAAGAACCTACTTACATGTCTGTGACCCCAACTTAGATATATGAGTGAGATAAATAGGACCTAGCCTCAACCCATTCAAACCCAAGTTTTTCCAAACATGAAAATATTAAAATCAGATGTCATTGATAGTCCTTTGAACTAATCAAGGGGAAATAATTTCAAAAATTGTGGAACAATATTTCTTTATATCTTTCCACAGCACTACTTTAGTTTTGCTCTGTAAAATACAAATTTGACTATCTGTATATTCTAAACCAAAGGTGCAAAGGTGTATATCATAACTAGACACTTTTTTTTTTTATCATTTTTTTCTCTGAAGAGTTTTTGCAGCGCTAGTGTCTTGTACTTTTGACAGTAGGCAGAAAGGAAAGAGGGTGAGGAGAGGGGGGAAGACACGCAGCAAAGGTTGCCGCCGAGACCCGGAGTCGAACCCGCGACGTCTGGGTCGAGGCTTTTAAATGTGGACCATCCTAACCCCCTGCACCACCACAGCCCGCCTGGTAAGTAGCCACTTTAAAGACGATGTGCACCAACACTCTTTGTTGTATGTTTATTTAACATACATTGCTGCCATTTTCTTTGAGAGGTTTGTGGTAGTCTTCCGCTCGCCCAGGTGTAACCAATATGTAAACAGCTCTATTGATGCGATAAGTTACTCTGAACATGTGATACTGCATCAGTGTTATCTAAACACTCTAAACTGTCAATATTTACTGAACAGTAACTGAAGATTTAATCAATAAGCTTTTTGGAGTCCTTGAAAGTGACATCAGTTTATTTGTCACTATTGTGATTGGTGGGTTTAAATGTGTCAACATGAGCTTAAGTTAACTTCAAATGAAGGAAATAAAAAGCAATGTGCAGAAAATACTTTTTAATGACCACATAATTTACTATCTACATGCTGTAATTTAATTTCTATTTGCAAATCAAAGAGAAATCTAAATGTAGAAAAATACAAATCATGAAGATCATGTTTGTAGCAACTGGCTAACATGTTTACAGTGATTAACGATTTTCATTGCAGAGCAAATGATGAAACATGAAATGCCAATGTGCAAATTATTATTTGAGTACTGATGTTCAACCAGAGCCCATTTTTTCTTTGGCAGCTCTCCTCTTCTACCGTGAACTTCACCATGGAGATGGAATGTGATGTGCAATGAAGATTTGCCTAAATTAGACAAATAAATTCACTTTTATAGACTCCCGCTTGCCAATAACTTGCCAGACAATAACTGTCATGACCAGTTAGTCTGCTTGTGTCAAACTGGAAACACTGGCAGAAGTCTGAGCTTCTGTCCTACAGCTTGAAACGTATGCTGCTGGATTTTAAGCTTTTTAAACATTATTACAATAATAACTATTAATGGTATGATAATTTTTTACTTTAATTTTAATCTGGCTGCAAGTGTTGCTAATTGTTTTGTCATATGTTAATTTACTAATCTAGCCTGGACTATAAATACTAAAATTCTGTCAAATTTATTAAAATTATGGTAAAGTATTGAAATATGTTTAAGTGACAACAAATGCTTCACTATTTCTCTCAGATTGGATTTACTTTGCCCTGAAAATATTTTATACCTATTAAAATTTTAAACATTTTGTCACATTATATTGAAAAACTTCAGTGCATTTTATTGGGATTTTTTGTGATACATCAACACAAAGTAATGTGCAATAAGGTAGAAGAAACTATTCATTAGTTTAAATCCTTTTTACAAATAAAAATCTGTGAAATGTGCAGCTGCATGTTTCTTGGGGGGTATGACTATACCAGATTTTAACATTTAGAGACTGAAATTAGGATGGACAACATTTGTAACATGTTTGTCTATTTTGATTCCAATTTAGGTAGGTTTATTTAGTGGTGTTGTACTGATGGAAGCTGGACTCCTGCCACAGTCTGAAGGCTGTTGCAGCCTCTAGTTTGTTTCCTTCCAATAATGCAACATATGCAGCTTTAAAAGGTTCCCAGGCTGCATGCTAGTGCAACTAACAGCACTACATGGATGCCTTGCAGGTCATTCTGCTTCCTCATGTAACAGAGTTTATGTTGTAGAATCCCACTTGCTTTATATATTATCAGTGCAATGGGAAATAGCGCCTCCTCTCTGTGTGGCTGGTTATTTGTTGCTGGCCTCTGTAATCAGTGCCAGTCTATGGAAGCTGCACAAGAGGTGAGTTTCATTCCTCAGCACACAGCACGGAAAAGTGTTAGAAACACATAAAGTATCATTCTTAATAACTTACATCAATAGTGTGCAACTACTATTTATGATTTGTGTGCCTGGCATCAATTTTGCACTTTTAGTTTTGTTAATATTTTGTAAAACACTTTCTGTGCTAAGTTAAAGTCAACATGACGCTCTGTTGTAGTGTGCTGAGGGAAGCTGAACCATTGCATTGATTCCAACCCGATCTGTTCTCATTCAGGAAATAAACTGCCTGTTCACCCAGAACTCCTGGTCTTCATTAAAACATCTACACAACGCAGAGTCGAGGGGTTACTTGGGTCGGCCTGGTACAGTGGCGTGAAGCAGAACCCGGTTACACTCACAAACAGATGCATTTTAGGCTAATCAGCATCTCTAAATTGCCCTCAGGAGTGACAGTGTGTGTATATGTGCATGTGTGTCTCTTTGTTACCATGTGATGGACTTTCACCCTGCTGTCTTCTTTGGTCTTGATGATGCTGTTTTACTAAAATTCTGGATTATGGTGAATTTAAATTACACACTGCTGGGCTCTATTTGCAAATCAGGATGTTGAATACATGTGCAATGTGAGTAAATGTGAAAAAGTTCACCTTGCACCATTTTGAAAAGTCCTGCCATCTTAATCACTTTGTCATGTTTAAATTACCCACATAAAATGCATTAAAGTCTGAACATTTATAGAAATATGTTTAAACAGGTAATAAGACTTTTGTTATAATTAAATAGGAAGAATAATTAAAAGTTTTAGCTACTATCTGAGAAAGTTGAACTTCAATTAACAGTAACTGAGTTTAAATATTAGATCATTTTGCTTGGGTTTAAGTATAAGATAAACGTCGGTATTATAACTTGTTTTCTGTCTCATGGACTTCGGGAAACAAAATGGAAAACTGTTTTCTTCTTTAGTTGTTAATGGAGTTCAGAGTTGGGGGTGAAAAACGTCCATTTTCTTCCGCTTTGGTCCACTTGTGGACTGGACCGAACCGCTGTATGAGCGATTCAGACTGTTAGAAGACATTAGAACATAATGAGAGAAGCCTCAGCGCTCCAGACAGACCCACAGCTCTGCTCTGGAGCAAAGCTACAGGTTGAGCTCAGTGACATGCAGGGAATCCTTCACCACTCCCGGGAAAAGATGGAAAACTGTCCTGGTATTTGTTTGGCACATCCAAAACATGATTTCATTCTGCTTTACAGATTAGTCAGAGAAAAAAAAAGTTTGCTTAAATCATTGCAGCTTGTGAAGCTCTGAGTACTTTTTTTTTTTTTGTTGCCCCACATGGGCTCTGAACAGCTTGTTTTATCGTATTTACGCATGAATGCAGCAACAATTGTGTAATTGTGTTGCTACTGTAAGGCCTTTGATCTCTTTAAAGTTTGGAGCGCCTGTGCCAAACGCTGGTGGTTGAGTAGCTGGCGCCGACACACACCGAGGGGAATTGAAGCATGTCGATGCAGAAACCCACTGGAGGGTTGATTCCCACTTGATTGCACAAACTTCACCGGGAATGCGCTAAAAATACACTGTGATGAATTTTCAGACAAGAAGAGTATAAAGTAACTCGACAAATTTGATTCCTTTGTGTATGTTTTAGAGGACCAAACTTTTTTCTTATTTCTATTTTTTTACTAAAAAGAGCACCTAATTTCACTTGAATATGGTAAAAAGAAGCAAAAACACTGATTACACACTGACAAAACAAAAAAATGTTTGCTACAATTCGTGCAATTCTGTTTCTGATCAATTTTCAATCACGTTTCTAGGTGGATGATGTAATCAGAACAGCTTTTCCCTCATTTTGAAATGTGATTACTTAAAAGAATTAGAAAAATTCAAACTATTTCAAAGATAGGATTTTTCAAATTAGTTACCTTCTAATCTTATGTTATTTTAAACTTTACACACAACAGCAGGCAGCTGAAAAGAAAAACTTTTATCTTACGAAATTCAAAAACTTCGGTACAGAGAGGAAACTGCAGAGAAATGCCTGACAAAACACACAGGGAGGCTCCATGGCAAAACTCTAAAGACCCCGAGATCATGGCAAGATTTGACTTTAAAGTCTGCACTTACATTGGGCTGCATATGAAAAATAAAAATACAGAAGATGAATTTAGTGGATTTAAGAATATGTAGGAAACAGATTCAACCAAAATGAATAAAATTTGTCAATTTAATCATCAAAGATGTTTGAGCTATTCTCATGATGACGATCCTTTTTTTTTTTATTATTGCACTCAATGTTACATTTGTGCAGTCAAATTGCACAACTCTTTAGTTCCTGATTTATTTCCAGTTGTCTGTCTGACCCAAGAACCAGAATTTGGCACCAGGGCTTCAAATACATTGAACTCTTGTGTCTGTAGTACAAGTAAAACTGAATATTTATGATATAATTCACTCCAGCAACTAAATGAATTACCCTATTTGTCATTTCATTGATTTTTTACAAGTAATAAAAGTTTGTAATTGAGTGGAAATTAAATGTTTCTAAGTGTTTTTAAACTGCTAAAATTTCTAAATAAAATCTGCCCAAATAGTTTCACTGATTGAGATTCTAGCAGTTTGGTTTTCCAGTGTAGGCTAAAGTGGAAATCTGAATTTTAAAGTGACAACTGCTTCAGTCATTTTAATGGCAAGTGGCCTTTTCTGGTGCACAAAGTGTAAAATACCTGATCGAAGTGGGAACTCGTGGAAAGTAAACGTCCAAATTTGTAACCCTGTCCTCTGTTACTCTCCAGTCGTCACGGACTCGGTGGCGCCACACTCACACACTCACAGGATATGTAGAAACTTCAGCAACGACCCATTATCCCCCAATCATCGGGATCGATTGGGCGTTAACGAGGGGCTCTACATATGCAAATTGAGGCGAGTGGCTGGAGCAGCTATAAAACCTTGGCTGCCACAGCGCGCTCTCTCGTGACATTTGGTGGATTTACAGGCCACTGAGCAGGAGCACCGTGGACATGGTGAAATACTTTTCCGTGGACTGGTTGGCGCAGAGCCACAGCAGTGGCGCAGCGAGGGAGGGGCAAAGAGCTTCCGGCGCGCACAGACCTCATGTTCTCTGCATGGTGCAGCCGAGCGCGCCGGTGTTCAGTAAAAGTTACCTGCAGCCAAAACCCAAGCAGTCAAAGGCCGCTAAGCAGGGAGGGCCAGATGAGGTCAGAGAACCGCAGAGCTCACCTTTTCCCCCATCAGACTCCTCCTCTCCAAGTAACCTTCTGAATGAATTCTTTCTTTTTTTCATGTTTTTGGTCAAAGTTTCAGATTTGTAACGTTTTTTCTGTCTTCATTTTCTGAAGTGAGCGGGTATTCCTCCGTGGATGAAGGGAATGAGGCGGAGAAAGATTCACCGCAGCGCCGAGTGCGCACCAAGTTCACTCCGGAGCAGATCAGCAGGCTGGAAAAGATCTTCAGCAAACACAAATACCTGGACGCAGGGGAGAGGGTGAAGACGGCACAGAAGCTGAGCCTCACAGAAACTCAGGTAAAACGCAAACACAGCGTGTTTAATAGGATAATTAATGATGAAGGTGGATTAGTTTCCCCGGTAAAGCGCGCTGGATGTTAAATTAAAACCTTTGCTTCTTCTGCAGGTCAGGACTTGGTTCCAGAACAGGCGGATGAAGCTGAAACGGGAAGTCCAGGACTACCTCGCCCCCCAGGTGTCCTTCCAGCCTCTGCACCCGCAGTACCACGCCGTGGCCGCACACCAGGCCCACTACGCCGCATCCGGCCGCGGCCTTTTCCCGGTGCCCGTCTCGAAGCTGGTTCTGACTCCTCACCCCGCGCCTCAGCTCATGATCCGGCATCCACATTTCTACTGAAAAAAAGAAACTCCCTTCCTCAAGAGACTCTTCATTCCGACATAGTCACTTAATCCCTATCCGATTTGTAAGAAATTTTGTACAAACTTTGTATAATTACAAATATATATATATTTATAATTGTTGAATAAAGTTTTTAATCTATATTGAAGCAATGATTATGGTGTTTTCTTTTGTGTTTTTTTTCGCTGCAGCTTCATCTGAGAGATAAAATTGATGGTATAATCTTTATTGCGAGATCAGCTTCTCATGAATGGATCGTCCTGCCATTCATCTTAAAGGGAAGGTGAAGAAACCACTGATAAAGATGACTAAAGGTTCTCCCTGTATGGATCTTTTGATTCAGTCCCAGTTCAAAAATATCAACAGTAAATTAAACCAGAGTGGATTATCCAAAGCAAATAGGATCAAACATGAATCTTACAATGACGTTTTATTACCTTGTCAGCAAAAAGTGAGAATCCTTTGTTTCTGCTTTCAGAGGGCCTGTTTGTTCCAATTCCTGCACTTCAAAGAGCAGCTAACTGGGAGATCATGGTTGACAATTAGGCATAATTAAGCTACTCATTGATGAGTTTACATTTACCACAGGAGACCCCAGGCCTGGCTCCAGAGAGTCTGGCATTGCCTTTGACCAGAGGATATGACCTGAGGAGATCTATACAAAACATCCAATAAAACAGTCAATTAGCTGCTGAGATTCTTGGCCGGAAAACAGGATTTGCAACAAACTTGGCATCATAAAACAGTAAGTAATAAATTATCAGTCATGCGGTCAAATATTTAGTTTACCTGATTAGATAATAAGTGGCAGATTTTATTTTTAGTTTCATGGCTGTGCCAAAAAGTTACTTCCTGTTTTCACTTTTTCATCTTACAGCCACTAACTTTATTACTTTTTCAGGGGGATTTTATTGAATGGACCAATAAAAAGTAGTGGATGTTCTTTGAAGGCATCGAAGGTTTATTAGAAAACATTACTGAGCAAACAAAAGAGGTCAGGGATAAAGCTTGAAGCTTGGTTAGGTTATAAAACAGCATTTCAAGCTTTGAAAATCTCCCGGGTGGCACTGTTTGAGCCGTCAGCTGAAAACAAAAAGAATATGACACAAAACCGATTTAACCAGACACTGCCAATCACCGACACGGACAGGAAAACGCAGAATAAAATCCGTTATTGGTTGAAAAATATACAAGAATCTGATTCACCTGAATTTAGTCATGGCTTAGATCAAAACACATTCATGTGTTACAATGGTCCAGTCAAAGTACAGACTTACATTCGATTGACAATCAGGGACAAGACATCAGAATGTACATGCACATATAAGCTTTCAGCTGAATTTGATTGATTTTGTGACCAATGTGAATTTTAGCCAATTCAAATCATAAACTGCACTTTTGTAAAGTTCCCTCCACCTCCTACTTTTACACCAATTTGTGTTGGTCTGTCAATAATTGTACCTTAGTATGTTTGTAAAGTAACAAAAACATGCAAAGGTGCAGTAGGTATTACAAGGCAGTGCACCTTGTTCTTAAAGGTAAACATAGATCAAAAGGAGCGTTCTCACTTTCCATCACTGTTTTCTGACCCTCCTCATCCCAACATAACAAAGGTTTCACCTCCAGGTTGGCTGATGGGCACACAGCTGGGCACACAGCTGGGTGCTTTTTTCTGCTACAACAGAGAAGTCTCTAATTGTGGAGAACATTTTCTAATAAATAAGGAGCTCAGTCCAACTGGGCAATAACACAAAAGCCAGTTTGTGGGAGAAAAATAAATAAAACGGTGTTTCTTGTGATTTTTTAGGATTCTAAAGCTAACTGATCTTCCAACCTGTTTATGCAGCCAGCATTCAGTCTGAGATACCAGCCAACTGACACTCAGACTCACCGGCGCCGAGGAGGTGAGGAAAAACTGCAGCCTGACCTCTGGAGGCACAGTGGTGAGTTGAGCTCCTGCTCGGGTCTCTTTGCATATGTCAACAAAGACGCATGGCGCTTCATTCAGACAAATGCTTCAAAGCATCATGGTGAATTTCTGCGCTTCCCAAAATGCCGTGAGATAACTCCACCCAGGACGCTGAAACGCAGCGCTAGATAAGCCAGTACTCCCTGACCTCAGTCAATTAGCTGGTCAATGTTGACTCTGGTGGCGGGATCAATCAGAGCTTTTGTGTGCCGATTGATTTGGAGTTTCTCTGTTCAGGACAACAATGGCTGCTTGGCCTGGTTGAGACAGAGATGAGGGGACAGACTGAGAACTCTACAGAAACAGCAGCAGGAAACACTAAGCCTGGTTGGAAGGGGAAGTTAACTTATTTTTGTTCCGTTTCAGCACCCCGCTGAGCGGACAGCTCCTGCATGTCCCGCCCATCCCACAACGCACATGGGTTAAATGGCAACGCGTTAACAAAATCTGCACTGGCAAACAGTCGCCACTCATTCAGACCTGAAAGGCTCCAAATGCTGCAGGCGAAAATCTCCAGCTGGTCGCTCTGCTCTCCTTCCTCTGCCGGTACATTCGCACCTCGAATGTGAGATCAAAGGCGAAAATATCAGCGAAATCATTGAGATATATTGAGTTTCTATTGTGTGACCCCTGAAGACTTTGCACTTCCCTGACAGCAACAGAAGGATGGCGCCCTCCAGTCCGCCAGAGGTGTATATTGCGCCTCTTTAAAGCCATTTTCTGACCTGAGCTAAATAAGTGACGGATGGAGTCACTTCGCCAAACTTCTGTCCCGTTTCCTCAGCTTTAGAAAATCATAAAGCTGCCCCTGATCATGTAAGTAATCAGATTACATTGTCCACCAGTACCAGCATGAATCCAAAGCCACTTTCTGACATTTTTTTTGACTGGAGATGAGACAGTGGATATTCAAAATATATTACCTCTAAAAGCACTAAAATAACAATGATTTAATAGTTCAGTCAGTCAATCAACAGTTATTATTGCTCAATAACAATAAGAAACTAATAAACAGGAGAGTCAATCAATTAAAAATGATGAGGAACTCATAAGAAGCACCGTCTCCAACTATTAAACTTTGGATAGAAATAAAATAACTAAACAATACATAATTTAATCATAAAAAAAGATCTTAACCACTTAAATATTTTAAAAGACAAACTGAGTTTCACTTATATTTTGCCTTTACAAATATCCAAACTCTTCTCCAAAACATTTTACTGAAAAATATTTACCAGATTCTTCAATATTTGTAGCTTTTCTTTACATAAGTTATATTTCAGATATCTTTAAGTTTGTTTTTTATCCCAAAGATACATTTTTCAGTTTCACTCTATAATTGTCTTCAAATGATGACAGAGGATGCCCCACTTTATTTAACCTTTTATTAAAATCTATTAATTAATACTCATTTGTTTTATTTTCATCTGATATCAAGCCCCCGTCCCACCTTAAGGCTTCATCATGATTTTAATTTGCTCTTACCTTTTTATCTTTGTTGACTCACTGAAACAGATTAGCTTTTAGTCACAGTGGAGTCTTATTGTTACTGCAGCAGACATTATTATTATTTTTTTTATTTTTATTATTATTTTTTTTTTTTACACAAACAGAAGATTAATCTTGCTAGTTTTGGTTTTAGCTGACATTAACAATCAATCATTTCATGTTTATTTTTTATTTCCATTTTTGTTATTGCCTGTTTAAATTACAACCTCAGTGGCTGTTTGTGTTGAATTCACCTTTATTTCAGATTTGATCACAATTTTATTTTATTTTTTTACTCATGTGTCAACTAAGTTTACTAAAATTACACAACTCTGTTTTCTTTATAATGCTCTCAAAGTTTTGGGATGTATTATTTATTTTCTGAGCTTGTTTATTTTTAGTTAGTTAATGTTTTGTGCTGTGCTTTATCCTCACTTTGAACTCTCGTGTATATAAACTATTTTCTAAATTTTATTGATTTGCTTAATTTTTTTTCTTACTGCCAATTATTTCTGTCATTTCAACATCAGCAGACCATTTTCCATAATATCTTACCGACCACTAAGCCTCTACTGGGATCTAAATACTTAAAGGTTTATTTAAAAATAACAAAGATGAAAATATTCTATAGTGTGATTAAAATTGCTGTTTTTTATTGGTTTAAAGCAGCAACACTGAGGAAATTTCTGAGAATCATTGCTCTTCAGAGTTGCCCAAAATATTACCTTGTGAGCCACCACTCCACGTCAATAATACTGAAAATAAACACTGAAATATAAAATAACAAATATATCAGCAAGGATTTTCAGATAAACAGGTTCTTTATTTAATAAAGCAACACTGTCAGAGATAAACAGAAGAAAAGATGAATGATTATGCAGAACAATCAACTCCACATCCATAAGTGAGCAACAGCAAACAGAGATATAATAAAAGGTTTTTTCGACAAAGGAAAACAGATATTGGAGTCAACAAATTGCAAACATGCAGTACATTCACCTATTTTCTGTTCCTGTTTAAAGGTTTTCACTACTGTTTCACATCAAGCTGGAAGGCTTACATGAAAGTGGCTGCAGAAGTGAAGGCTGCTGGTTGAGCTCGGTTGGGTGGAATACCTCTGCAGCCCCATTTTCCCATGCCTTATGCCTCTTTAAAGTTATGTCTCAAAGAAGTATATGCATAGGAAAAAGGAACAGCGAGTGAAACAAGCCCTGCCGCCTCATGCCGAAACCTGCAAACTGGCATAGAGAAAAACATATGAGTTAAAAATATATGAGTTAACAAAGCAAAACGATTAAAAATCCCCTGTCTGGTTGACATCTCGGCAGAATGTTTCTAAAATTCATAATCCAGCTTTCAAATAAAGCCTTGCTCCAAAAGTTTTCCAAGTTTTCAGTATGAGATTTTCATTAAAATGATTAGTGGGAGATGTGCAGAGCACTTACCTCGTGAGCATCCAGACCAGTCTCCTCTGGGAAGGCACCTCCTGTTGCCCATTTATGCCTCACAAAGACCTTGAAGATGTTTAGCAGAGACAGAATAGCTGTCGTCTGTGCTCACTCAGCAGTCCTCCTCTCCTCTGCCTCCAGCCATGGGAGCACACCTGGAGAACAGCAAACACTCGC